CTCTCTCTCTCTCTCTCTCTCTCTCTCTCTCTCTCTCTCTCTCTCTCTCTCTCTCTCTCTCTCTCTCTCTCTCTCTCTCTCTCTCTCTCTCTCTCTCTCTCTCTCTCTCTCTCTCTCTCTCTCTCTCTCTCTCTCTCTCTCTCTCTCTCTCTCTCTCTCTCTCTCTCTCTCTCTCTCTCTCTCTCTCTCTCTCTCTCTCTCTCTCTCTCTCTCCGCTCACCCGACCGCCACCTGCACAGCTGCTGGGACGGCAAGAACGTCGACAGCCCGGACCACCAGTCGCACATGTACAGCACCACCAACGACGCCTTCCTCAACGCCGGCCCGTGCCCGGCCTCGCACCCGGTGCGGGTGCCGCAGCTGGCGTACGAGACGCTCTGGGACACGACGCAGTTCAACAGCATGTGGTCGTCGGGCGGGCCGAACCCGTTCGTGCTGTCGTACGGCGACACCAAGGGCTACGGCACCCACGCCGACTACGTCTTTGGCTGGAAGGGCGACTCGCTGCAGCGCGCCATGGACTCGTCGTGCATGTTCCAGGCCTGCGAGAACGGCCGCCCGCTCAAGTCGCAGGCCGTCAACCCCATGAACAACTGCAAGGTCAAGAGCCAGGTCACTGAGGACATTGACGGATGTAAGCGCACCCTCTGTTGTTTGACTTTGTCAGATTGCTAACCAGCCCCTTTCCGAATAGGGCTTAAGCACCTCCCTGGGATGGGTCCCATGTAATTGTGTCTCTGTTGTGGGCCAATGGTTGGGCTCTTTATGTCCGCGTGTGTAACAAAACTTTTCGTCGTCAGCGAGGTGGTAGTGACCACTTGAATTTATTTTTCTGTGAACCGAAGGCAGGTAGTGAGGTAATCAGGTTGTCAATGGAGATGCCGGGGCAGCAGGCAGAGCAACTGGTTCCTCATAGATGGCCACAGCTATCAATCCAAGCCTACCCCTTAATACCCATAGTATCGCAGCCGTGCTGGATAGGCAGCTAGCTACTCATTTGTGACTGGCCAGCTCCTCTCATCACTCGCTATCGGAGTACTCCTCAGTTTCAAAACCTTCCCATTCCTCCGAGGCGGCATCACCTGCCGTGGCATCCACCATGTCCATAAACTCCTCGTGGGCAGCCTCGTCTAGGCCATCCTTCCCGCTCTGCAAATTCCGAGACCTGTCTTCGACCCAGCCCCCAAACTCTCCTTGGACGCATGCTGACGGCCAGACCGACAGCGCCTGCATGAGCCGCTCCACTGATATTTCCCGCGCGGCCGGCGGCCCGCCGCCGCCATCCGGTTCCGCGTCATCGATGAACTCGGGGACGGAGGGGCTGCGACGCGTGACGCCAAAGCCTATAATCTGGATCTTCATCAGGATCAGGCGGACGAAGAAGTCGCTCCACCGCGGGCCTTCCGAGTCGGCCGTGGCGTAGACGAGGCCGAGAGAGCGCAGGTAGCCGCTCGCCCGCTCGTGCTCCTTCAGGAACCCCAGAATCTGGTCGCCGGCGCACACGTTGCCGAGTGTCAGATACCGCAGACGCGGCATGCCCACCGCGACCAGCGGCAGCGGCGCGCCGCCCTTGTAGCCCAGCGGCGCGTGCACGGAACCGCAGAACCGGAGCGTCTCGACGGCCGCCAGGTGGCGAAAGACGTCGTCGGCGAGCCCTGCCACGGCGGCGCGGTAGTCGCCATCGCCGTTGCTGGTCATGTCGAAGGTGCGCTGCTCTCCGAACATGGACAGCTCGAGGTCCCGCACCCGGCCCAGGAGCCGGCGCCACCGGTGCGTGGCGAAGACGGGGCTGCGGTGCGGCGGGAGGTTGAGCAGCGCGAGGCGGGTGGCGCCGCCGACCGGGTGCGTCGTGTGTGCGAGCGCCCCGAGCGCCTGGTCGACCATAGTGTTGTTGTCGCGCGCGAACTCGGGCGCGCCGTTGTCGTCGAACGTCATGTATATGCTCACATCGGGCCGCCCGAGGCGCCGCCGGAACGCGTGCGCGTCGGGGAACTTGACGGCGAGCCGCCGGAGCCCCGGCGCGAGCTGCTGCCCATCGCCCGGCTCCGAGTGCCCCCGGAGGAGAGCGAGTGCACTTTCGGGGAGCAGGTTAGGGCCCTCGTGGGTGGGGGTCGGGTTGGCGTGACCGCGACTACAGGGCGTAGGGTCGATGACGAGCTTCAGCTTCTGGACCACGCCGGGGTAGCTCTTGACGACGGCGAGGACCGAGTCGGCCGTCTTTGCTCTCCGGGCGGAGAAGCGGATGGATCTAAAGACGCCCCATTGGTGGACCGCGGCTGCACGGAGATCGCGGCAGGTGGCGCTCAGCTGTAGTCGATCGCGCAGGCCAAGGCGTTCCTTGATTTGCAGTAGTAGCTCCGGAGGGAGCTGATTAAAGCAGGCTGTCATGTTGTTGTTGTTGTTGTTGTTGTTGTTGCAGATGAGAGGGTGAAAGGGGATAGGATAGACGAGAATGCGCGAGAGCAGAATAAATACTGCGGTCAAAACCAACATTGAAAGTGAGGGCTGGACTCTGATTCACGCATCACTTGTCCATCACTTGTGCCTCGTCGCGCAACACAAAACAAAACAGAACCTTGCGAGCATTCAGTTGGGTTGGAATTCCCTCTGGCCGGCGCTGCTTTCGCTTCCTTGTAACCAAATCTGGCATTCCTCAACACATACCACTTACTACCACCAGGCCCGGCAGCCTTCCATACCTTGGCTTCTTCAAGAGTTGTTCCAGAATGCCTTGAGGACTGTGCTGGCGATCGGCTGGCCATGCAGGATAGGGTCGCGTCATGCACTCCCAGCGGCGATCCGAAGGTTAGGCCTGTGCATCGCAAAGCGACTGCTGGACAGGACGCGCTGCCATACTGGGCAGGCAGCTGGCCCGAAACGGGATACCCGAATGCCGAGGAACTAGAGCCGCTCCTAGAGTAACGCTTAACCCCAAAGCGTCCCGTTTCATATCAAAAAGATGACCGACTTTGGGCTTGGTTATCCCGACTATGTTGCCGGTCCCGGCGGCGGTGGGCGCGTAGTGAACTGCTGCATTTCGTGGCTAGAGGAGCGACGGGAGCGCGGAGGGGGCTCGTGCCTCGCTTTTTCCGCGGAGGCTCCTTGGCGGCGCTTCCATGACCGCACACCGAGGACAGTGGTGGCAATCAGGAGCATGAAGACAACGCTGGCGAGGACGGACACGGCTATGGTCGTGGACCCGGCCCCCCACACGCCGTCACCGCCGCTGGGCTAGCAAACCCTAGACGATATCGCACCGCCGCCTGCGTCTTCCTTGGGCGCCTCGGTCCACTTGGTCACGTCCTTGATGAAGTCGCGGAGTGGGGTGAGGGGATTGTTGCTGAAACGGAATGCCCGGTCGTGGCTGCCATGGCAAGAAGCCGTTAGAAATGTAATCTACAGTCTACTACCTGCCCAGTTATTCCTCAGCACTGCGGGGTAGGGGGTTGAGAGGCTCACGGCTCGATACAGGAGGTCAGGGGCGGGTCGCCCCTGGACACAAGGGGCCTTGACTGGTTCCCAAATGCGGGTTGTTTTCCACGGCGAAAAGGCACAGAGGGCAGCAGACGTCCTAAATCTGACACCCGCCTGCACATGCTTGGGTGCCGTAGCGTTCATGTCGTGAGCCAGGTATCCGCGGCCGCTGCAAGCAAGTTACGGGGTGGGTAGATAGTAGTCGCCTTATCTTTGATGTGTTGGGACACAGAAAGCATTTCAAATCTTCAAAAGCCTCTTCGCGTTGTGATAGGCGATATCCATGTACACCTCCTCACTAACCATACCACTCTCCCTCAAGCTCTCCATAAACACCCTCCCGTCTGCAGAACTGTTGAACGGTTAATCGTTACTGTGCATAACCCTGCTCGCGTCCGTTACAGCGAGCAGCATACGCAGCGCGTTGAGGCTGAAGTAGCCCCCGACCGTGACGTGGACGTTGCGTGAGTACGCCTCCCGCAGCGTCGCCGACCCCGCGGGCCGGTGCGGTGCCAACCTGCGCTCGGCGCGCTCCAGGAAGTACGGAACCATCTCGCCCATATGGCCCAGCACGGTTTGCAAGGTTGGGAATCGGTCGAAAATGCCCGCCGCGAAAAGTTTAAGGAAGCCCAATCCCGCGTTCGAATGCCACCCCCACGCGGAGCTGCCGAGGGCAATGGCGACAGCGTTCGAGTACGACAAGGTGCTAGGGCCGTCGCCACTGGAAGGAGACGCCGCGGGCGCGTAAAGGCCCTCCCCGGCGGCCAGGATGGCAGCCTCAGGCGGGAAGGCTGGGTGCAGGTAAATGGGCACGTCCAGCTCGACGGCGGCGGCCCAAAGCACGTCGTACGCGGGGCTGTCGTAGAACACGGCGGCCTTTCCTCCCGGTGGCGGTGTCGACGACGACGTGACAGTCGACAAGGGCGCCGACGAAACTGAGGTCACGCACGCAGCGGCGGGGCTCGGCGGCGGCTTCGGCCGGGTGCGCCATGGCGAGAAGGCAAAAGCCGCGCAGGCGGTCCGGGTGGGCGGCGACGCGGGTGGCGAGCTGGTCGTTGGCTGCGCGCACCTCGGCGTCCATGTGCATGGTGCCGGCGCCGGCCGTGGCGTGCGAGACCACCTGCACCGCGACGTTGCCGGCGTCCATGGCGGCGAGCCGGACGGGGGCAATTTCTGTTAGTTGTCCGAGGGGGGGCGAGATGCCGTCGATCTTTGAGGTTGGGTCGTTGTGATAGGCGTCGAGCAGGGCGGGAGATACCCAGTGCTCCTCCAGCGTGTAGAAGGGGACATTGCTACGAGGCTGTGACGTCATGCTGGCGATGGCGAGTGGGCTGAACAATAAGCATCGAGGCAGAAAAAAAAGAAAAAAAAGAAAAAAAAGTCGCGAGATAAGGAGACACTATTATATCGGCAAGACCATCTATCAAGTGGTATCCCAGGGCTGTTTGGGAGAAGGTAATGGCTCCAACGCTGAATGGCGCAACCTTATTTCACGTGCTATGCGTCGTCATATAAATATTCATCCGATACTTTCCGTTCTGTCAAGCTACCCTATATCATCCACCCGAAACTAAACCAGCCCTGCGCCATTCACAACCCATACGGTGCAAACTTCCTCCTCAACATCCCCCCATACCTCACCACCAGCCACGGCACCGGCACCAGTCCAAAGGCCACCACCGCCAGCACAGTACCGCACCAGCCCACACCCAAGGCTCCAAACATGGCCGGTCCCGCCATGGGCAGCCCGCCGGCCGTCAGCGACCGCAGCATGACGTTGGACGCAACCGCGCTGGCCGGGAAGCCTGGGAAGGCCTCGACGAGGTACAGCTGCGCGGCCGCAAAGACGCCGGCCACTCCAAATCCGGCCGCCGCCAACCCCAGCACGGGTAGCACCCAGTGCGCGCCCGCGCTCGCCGTCCAGCCGTAGATGGCAAAGCCGATGGGCACGCTCAGCGCCGACAGCCGCAGCGGCCGCAACCGGTCCTCGGGCGTGGGGTGCGGCGGCGGCGGCGGGGCGATCCTCCGCCCCGCCTCGCGCTCCTCGCTCAGCCTGCGGGCGTCGCGCTTGACGGCGTAGACGTAGTACGCCAGGCCGAGCAGCGCGCCGGCCCCGACGCCCAGGTACGACAGCTGCATGGAGCGCTCGCCGACCTCGTAGGCGCCGCCGCCGCTGCCGAACACAAAGGGCAGCGACGCCAGCAGGAGGTAGAAGCAGCCGAACAGCACGGCCGTGTACGCCGCCAACGCGCCCGCCACGGGCGAGAAGACGACGTACCCGCGCAGCAGCCACTCGTTGTTCCTGCCGCCTTTTTTCTTGTCGCCGCCGCCGCCGCCCGGTCTGCTCCCGCGGGACGACGCCAGGGGCTCGGGCCGCACGCCGCCGTCAGCCCCGCGAAGGCCGCGTCCGACAGCCAATACACGGGTGCGCGGCCCCACGACTCGCTGGCCGGCGCGGCCGCGAGGGCGCCCAGGGCGCCGCCGAGCACGAAGATGGAGAGCGAGAGCTCGCCCAGCGCCTGGTTGGCCGCGCCGAGCTCGCCTTTGAGCTCGAGGGCGGCCGGGGCGAATATTGCTGTTTTCGAAGAAAGAGCTTTGTCAACAAAATACGGGGTTCTGCCATGTCCGGAGGAAAAAGCTCGCCATTGCATGTGCCTACCCGAGGTCAGGGACGTGATAAAGGCAAAAACCGCCACGAGCCCGATGTTGACGGCCTTCTTCCCTGTCCGCCAGTCCGCCGGGTCGTCGCTCGCGGGCAGGTTCTCGAGCGGGGGCGGGTCCCCCTCCCAGTAGTAGGGCGGCGCGTCCGGGAACTGCCCCGTGGGCACCGACCACAGCCTCGTGAGGTGTATCTCGGACCCGGAGTCGAGGTACGCCAGGCCCTCGGACGAGCCCGGCGGCCGGTACGTGTACACGCGACCCGGCCGCTGGACCTCGCGCATCTGCCGCCTGTGCCGGGGCGACGGCGTCGGCGTGCGGACTCGCGAGCTGGTCGTTGGCGAAGGCGGCTAGTTTCCTTTTTTCTGTCAGCTTGAGGCAAGGAGCATGACCTTTACTGGAGCACACTGCAAACCCGAGAGCTCGTGGAGGATTAGGGTGTTGACGGCAAGAAACCAGCCCACCAGCTCAAGACCGGGCGAGAAGGACACAAGGGGTGTGTGGTTCTGGACGACGAGATCCCGGGCAGAGTACGCCTTCGTCCGGTGGTGAGATGCGAGGAGCTATCCTTAGGGGGGAAAGCCGAAGTGACGGCACCGGGCGGCCGCTGTCGTCGCAATATAGGCTTCGGGTCAAGCCGCGGAGCGCAGCGCTCCCATGTCGACGCCTGCCCGCCGGCACTCTGCCGGCGCATGACGAGGATTAAGGTTTGTTTCTGGTATCAAGCCTCATCCTCCCTCAAAGCTTAATCATATGACTTGCTCCCCCCACGGTGTCGATGCTCCTCGAGTCGGGTTGCCGATGGCGGCATCGTTAGAGATGGCCATCTTCGTGGAGAATCCTGGGAGAACCAGGGGCGGTGGCCGCTCTCCGCAGGAGGTCCTGTCTGACCTGCTTCGTTCCGTTTTCCTGGATAGCGTACCAAGGGGAGGTCTTGCTTATCGGTACCCAATGGCCTGCGCCATGTCATGTTCCCGCAGAACCCTTTGTCGTGCTGATACTTGGGATGCGGCATTGCCATGGAGGTTGCCCGAAAGGAATAAAAAGAATCAGCAACCTCCCGACGGGGATTTAGATGCCGGCAAAAAAGGAAAACACAGGCAGCGCCTCGGACCTACCAGCCAGTTGGCCCCGTCACAAATCTGGGGATATCTCGCCTGGGAGCCGACAGATCTTGATCGCGCCGGGGTGTTCATGCACCAAATGCACGATTACTCGGTCGACTGCCTGTTGTCGAACACTCTGCTCGAATCTCTTATATGTTGGTTACGTAAAACCCGTCTTATGGGCAGCCCTCACGACTTCCCTTGGCAGTGGGTTGTGGATGCAGCGTTCATATCTGAATGAAATACCCGCAGGCCGGGCAGACATGAGATGGACACAGTTCGTTTCCCGCAGGGTGTTTGTTTCAAACAAAACAAAACGGCCGATCCACGGTTCGTTTAGCAGCCAAGGCGTTTCAATTGCCTTCGCGATTGGGTCCCCCTCGCCCAGCACTTTCTGTTTCCATTCCGGCCCCTTGCAGAGCCGGCAAGTCCAGCCCCCTGGTCTTGGCCTCTGCCGGATTCCGGTCAGCGCCAAGCCACCTTTGTCCCCTTCTCGTGGGACTCCCTCGCCAGCTCGATGACCCTGAGCCCGTCCCGCGCCGTCTCGGGCCTGACCTCGACCTCGCCCTTGCCCCTAATCGCGTCCACCACGTTCTCGTAGTAGCCCCTACAGTAGCCCGGCAGGCTGGGGTACCTGCCGATATGGTAGCCGCTCGCCCCGTCGAGCGCCTGCGAGGCCGGGTCGAAGGCCGTCTTGGTCGTCAGCGTGCCCCAGATGCTCGGGTCCTCGGCGCCGAAGTCGTCGTAGCCCGACGCGGGTTTTCCTGGTGCGGCGATGGCACGGGCTTCTTGGGGGCAGTATCCGAACTAAAAAGCTATTGTTACTTCTTCTCTCTCATCTCTTATGCGCGTTTTTTTTTGGGCCGGACCAACCTTGAGATAACTGCCCTCGGTGCCGCGCACAAAGAACTTGAGCTGGTCCTTCATGGGCGTAATTATCGACGTCTTGACCGTGACGAGGAGGTTCTTGTGCGGCGCCGCATACTGGAGGATTATGGTGAAGGTGTCGTCGACGTCGCTGTCAACCCCCCTGTTGGACGCGAAAAACCCCGTGACGAAGGCGGGGGTGCCGAACAGGACCAGGGCCTGGTCGATAGTGTGCGATCCTGCCGTGGGGTTTCATCAGCTCGAGATTCTGCCAAGACAACCACAGTCGGGGAATCACTGCTCACCTAGCCCGAAACCCATGCCTTGGCCGGGCTTGTACTCCTTGGCCGTCCACCCCGAGATCCAGGAAGGGCCGGGGAAGTCAAAATGGACCTGCGCGTCCCTGACGTCGCCGAGGGCACCCTTTGCCATGAGCTGACGCAGCGTGCGGAAGTCGCTATCATATCTGCGGTCTTTGTCCGTGTCAGAGGTCTTTCGTTACCACAACTCGTTGGAAACGGCGCCGGCACGGTTGGAGGGGTTGCTTACTGTGGAATACGGTTAGCACTTTCTTGCAGTCTTTGGCCAGGCTGATAAGTCGGTCCGCCTCGGCGCTGGTGGTGACGAATGGCTTTTCCACGACGACTGTTGATCACGACCAGCGCGCGGCGGGGGCCCCAGCACGTTAGAAACCTGCGTTTTATCCGACTTCCCGCTAACCAAGACTGACCATGCTTGCCCGTCCTCAAAGCCCGCTCGACAAACTCCTCGTGCAAGTGCGTGCACACAACCACCAGCTCAATCTCGGCATCGCCAAAGAACTCTTCGGCCGTCCTATAGTGCTTGGCCCGCGGGAAATCGATGGCGCAATGCTTCCCGGGCGGCGCCGGCCCGGCCGGGGCGGGGGCGCGCTGCAGGAAGGCGTAGACCTCGAGGTCCGGGTTCGGAAGGATGTAGGGCAGGTGGAAGCACTTGGTGGAGAAGCCGTAGCCGACGATGCCGACCCTGATCGGAGCCATTCCTAGTGTCCTGCCGCCGCGATGGTGGAGTATACTAGTAATAGGGGGGCCCCAATGGAGGACCGCTGCGGACGGGTTATCGATGCTTTAGACTAAAACAAGGGACGCCGGTCGCGGGCACAACACATTCATCCCCGCGTGCGGAGTCGCTCGTCCTTTATCATGGCTGGCGTCCTTGGCACATCTGTTGGCTGAATGAGTGCCCTCGACCCCGCTATCATGGCTGATACATGGCCGAAACATGCCAGTCGGGCGGGATGCTAACCTTGTTTCTATACTGGCTATACCAGCATCTGGCTGATATTAATTCTTCATTTCCATGACCCATCATCCCCCGGCCCGGCACGGGGAGGTTTGCCGCAGCCCCGGTCACCTTCCGTCCGATCCTGCCATGGCCGGTACCGTCATCGGGATCACACGATCGCAGCAGCTTCTCGCTTACGGAGACGGGCAGGGCATAGCAGTGGTGGCTTGTTCACGTCATGTAACCGAGACAACCAGCCGTGGCTTATTCCTTGGCATTTTCTGCTGTCGAAGTAGTTGAGGTCTTGCATTGCCGTCTCCTAGCTAGTCTCTTTCTACCGCGCCTGTCCCGACAAGCCCCCAAGAGCTTCTTGTCCAGCAGAAGATGCCCCGCATGGAGTGCTCCAGCTGGATGGGAGTGATATTGAAAGCATGTACGGCCAGATGTTGAACTTGGAGACGATGTTTCCCAGCGAATGTCGACCATCACGACGCCCATTCTCCCTCCTCTCTCATCATGTCGACACCATTTACCTAGCAGATTCGCGCAGGTTAGCAAAAGTAGCCCTGGGATTACACCTCGGCACTCTCGAACCCGACGTACTTGGAGTGGGTGCCGCAGTTGGAGCATTTGCAGGAGTCTCCGCAGGTGCAGTTGCCGTCACACATCTTGATGTTGGGGAGGGTTGTAGTTGGGAGAGTGGGTTGGGTTGGGTTTGCTTGTTTTGTTTGATCTGGCGAGTAGCTTTGGGGCGATGGGGGGAAGAAGAGAAGAAAAGAGGCACGGTGAGGGGTCGAGGTGGAGGGGAGTCCTCTTTTGTACTGTATCCGTCTCCCCTCTATCAGCCCTCCAACTGTCTCGCAGGGAGATACCGGGCTAAACCCGGGGTGGCTATCAGTGCAAGATGGAGGGGTTGCCCGAGAGAACCCACCAGGCGAGGATGGAGGCGAAAATGCCGCGGTTCCCGTGGGCCCTCGGACCCGAATGGGCCAGGCCAGACACGTCAAGGCCACACGCCATGCTCTGCCGTGCAACTCGCCACCGCCCCGTACTGCACTAGCCTGTGGCAGCCTGCGGCCTGTCTCACCAGCCCGGGTCGGTCGAGGTGTGCCAGTAGGCTACCAGCTCAGTAGACTACCAGCTAACCTACTTGCCTACCTAGGGTCGTGGCTAGCACACCCGCCGGCCAGCTCGGGGGTCCGGTGCAGAAATTCTGACCACGCCGTCCCCTTGGCTCTCTTGTCCATGGCGAATGGAGGACATGGCCGGTGTGTTTTCAGAGGACCCGAGGGTGGGTGGTGTGCATGCTGCATGTGCAGGGTGCGCGCGTGGGGCGACGTTGCGCTGGGCTGACCTGGTTTTGGCACTTTTCGTCTTTGCCAGTGTCTTCTCCGTCTGGCAGTTAATCTTTAGGTAAGGCTCGTGACGCACACCCAATGGAGTCTGTCATCGTCGGCCACGATGCGACAGCCACCCTCCCACCTCCTACCTGCCTCCCCACGGCCAGAGAGCAGGGGTCCAGGAGCGCCAAGGACGGGAAGGGAGGGGCAGCCAAATCCGACTAACATCGGCTGATTGATGCCAGCCTGCGGGGCATCGCTGGCCAAGTGTGAGATGGAATGGATGCGCAAGTTTTCTCGCCAATTGACCCAAACAACCACCCCCACCAGCCTCTTCCTTCGCGTGAGCACGTTTTCGCACAACCCACCCATCCCGCCAACCAGATACAAGGTAAAATACACAAGCAAGATTCGGCTGGTCGGGCTTGTACATAGTAGCGTTGCTATTCGAGAGATGCAGAGATGTTCCCCGAAATGGAAAGCGGCTCGCGCGAGCTTCTGTTGGGGTGACTCATAGCCCACATCTGGCGCGACTGGTTTTGGCACTGGCCCAACTGGGCATATTTCAGCCTGAATTGCCATGTGCTAATACTGAATCATAATGGTTAAGCACTGTAGTGTTCGGGGACCAAAGGGTGCAAAAGTGATATAAAGATCTGGATTTTGATAGCAGTCCATATCGAAATTGTAGGAGACGGCTTCACCAGACAAAACAGCCACATCTACTCTATCCAACCATGCAAAACCAGAGGCTCGACGCAATCCTCGAGTCCCATGTCGCAGTCGGGGAGGAGACCAAAGACAAGCTACTGGGCGCAGCTTTCTGTGTGGTAAATAAAGATGGTATGGAAACAACTGCTGCCAATAGCCTCGGTCACACACTCACACAGCGACCTACCAGGCATTCTTTATCAGGGCTCCGCAGGCCGCATAGACCTCCCCGTGAACTCGGCCCCGTTCACCACGCGGTCCTTCACCTGGATCGCGTCCATGACCAAGATCGTAACCGCCGCCGCCGTCATGCAGGAGGTCGAGCGCGGCACCCTCGGCCTGGACCAGGACATGCGGCCCCTGGTCCCGCAGCTGGCCCGGATGGAGATCCTCCGCGGCTTCCAGGAGGCGGACGGGAAGCCCGTCCTCGAGCCCAACGCGGACCCCATCACCATGCGCCACCTGCTCACCCACACCGCCGGTCTAGGATACGACAAGGCGGACCCGGAGCTGGCGCGCTGGTCCGAGGCCGTCGGCCGCACCGCCTCGGTCTACGACTTCTCGCTCGACGGCTTCGCGACCCCGCTCCGCTTCCCGCCCGGCAGCGGCTGGTGGTACGGCACGGGGCTCGACTGGGCCGCCGAGGCCGTCGCCGCCGCGGCCTCGGCGCGCAGGGGCGCCGAGACGCGCCTCGCTGACCTCGTGCAGGAGAGCATCCTCGGCCCGCTCGGGATGCGGAGCACGACCTTTTACTCGCTCCGTGTCAGCGACGACATTCGGCGCAGCAAGGTCGCCAACGCGTATCGGGACCCCGAGACCGGGAGGCTTTCCATCGGACCCCTGGCCATCCCCGCCGAGCCGCCGGTCCAGTCCGGCGGCGCCGGGCTGTGGGCGACGTGCGAGGACTTTTCCAAGTTCCTCCGCGCGCTGCTCGTCTCCTCGCTGCCGGAAGCCGGCACGGACGCGGCCGGGAGGATCCTCAAGTCCGAAACGGTGGCCGAGATGCTGCGGCCGCAGCTGAGCGACAGGCAGCGCGAGGCGCTCCAGAGCGTCACCGGGGAGGCCCATGACAGCATGGTTCCCGAGTTCGAAAAGACCACGCCCCTGAACCACGGCATCAGCGGCATCATCAACCTGGCCGACGTGCCCTCGAAGCGCAAGGCCGGGAGCATGATGTGGAAGGGGTTTACCAATGGGCAATGGGCAAGTTCTCCTCCTGTTTGTTTAAAGGACAACGCTAAGCGGAAAATGCGACGAGCACGTCGGCTAACGTGTGGTTCTGGTGTGCTAGTGGATTGATCCAAAGGCCGGCATTGCCGCGGCTCTTGTTGTCAACGTCCTGCCACAGCCCGACCCAGTGGTCACCAAGCTCCACGACGAGCTAGAACGTGCAGTCTACAGAGATTTAACATGAAGTGGCTTTGTGCGAGCAAGCCGTTTATTTACTGCCTGTTGTTTGGTATTCATGACCTCATTGACAATACTTGACGTGCCTCGTAGCCCAAACACTGCAGTCGCCCACCACAGACAGCATCCCCCTTCAGACCCTAAACCCTCCCTTTCTGCATAATCTCAACTGCCCTCGCCACCAGGTCCGGCGAGTTGCCGTCCTGGAAAGGTGTCGGGGCGTCGGCGGGCGTGGGGGAGCCGTCGCGGGCCTCGACAGGGGCGGCCGCCGCGTTGATGACGGCGGCATATACAGTGGAGGCCGAAATCTGGGCGGCAAGGATGGTAGAGGACCGCATGTTGGCGAGGTCGAGACTGTGTAAATTTTTGTCTTGGGAGGGCTTGATGTTGGCCGACAGGTGCAAGAGAGTGTAGGAGAGACGACTTGGACGAGTGGCCCTGCTTTGGAGGCTCTGGGGAGATCAGAGCAAACAACACCCTTCCATCGCGGCTTCACAGGCCTTGTAGCTAGGACAGACTCCCTCACGCCTCAAGGGGCGCTGCCCTAGAGAGATGCCAATTACCTAATGGCATGGCATTTCCAAGACGGCAAGGCCTCGCACGGCTGCCTGCGGGAGCCATGGCCGTACAGCCATGGTGGCCCCAAAATGTCCGCCAAGATCATATTGTCCCATCCAACCCGGCTCGAGCTTTTATAGAAGATAATTGCCGCCGATGACAACCCGGAGCCTCGAATGATCCATATAGCCCTCTTCAACTCCACGGCTGAACGTCCACGAACGGCACACCATGGGCCCATATCAAGCCGTCCTTGTCTCAAATCGAAGGCCGATCCCACTTCGCATTTGTGGCAGGTCAAACTCTCGCTTGAAGTTCATTGTGCTTGAAAATCTGGCAAGACAAAGAAACCAGAATGCAGAACGTGGCGTTCTCGGTTTTGGTCGCGGAAAAATTCGCATTCGTCGCTTTTATGGCCGAAAACGGCAAGCCCGCCCTGCACTGAGACCACGATACACACCCAGTACAGAACAAAGCGAAACAAGCCCAAGCCAAGGACGAGCCCAAATTGTTACTTTCTTTTGCAGGCCTTTCCTTAAATACATCAATCCGGCCGATACTATGGACAAACTACTGCCAGCCACTTCACCACCCACCTTTACACTCTCGTTCATAACACTTTAACTTGAGTTTCTTCAAAATCGTAGCTTCCCACTTCAACATACACGCTTTCCCCTTAGGGCTGCCGAGTTTCCACAATGGTATCGCCTTCAGAAAAACCGGCCCGCCCGAAAGTGATAGTAGGGTTTGCCCTGGTCACGCTCTTCATCACCACCTACACCATCATCCTCCTGCGTTCGGATATCCCGGTCCCTAGCTTCAAAAACACAGTTATCATGTTGCTTTCCACCGTAAGTGATTTGCCACCTTTTTACATTATTCTCCTTGCTTTAAATTCACTCATCCAACGCTTCTCGCGGCTTATTATGCGCATTACCTAGGCTTTGGCGACTGCCTCGGTTCTGGCTCCCCTTTGCCATTCATCGTCCCGGGCCGTAGCGTTTTTCAGCATAATCCTTTCCATCGCCCTCACCGCGGCAACGTTGGGCGTTACATGCGTCCGATGGCGGCAAGCGCTCGAAACCGCCGACGAATGGGCCGTCCCGCATAACATAGACCCCTCCCTTATCCCTGGAAACGTCAACTCGGATGTCTGGAGGCTGGTCGTCCCTGGAAACGTCAACCTGGATCTCTGGAAGCTGGTCCGCAACCGGGAGTACGGTATTGGTGTTATTGTCGGCGCCGCACTCGACCTGTGAGTTGATTCTCCTCTCGCCTGCGGCTGACCACTCGGACAAGGCTTTCCTTTCCAAAGCCCCCTCTAGGCCCTGTCCAATGCCTTTACGCATTGCAGCCAGCAGGCGGCCTGGAGAGCAAGGCAGATATCAAGACGCTAACATCAAAGCGTCGATTTAGGGCAGTTAATGTTCTCAACGGCTTGGTTGCTGTTGTGAGGTGGCGCAGTGACTATTGACAAAAAGAAGGAGAGGGGGAAGCATGGTCGCTGCCCAAATGATTGGGGACACGGATAGGAGCGATAATGAGCATGAAAGCAATTCCATCAGGCGACATACACACAGCCCTCACAGATATTTAGCCATAAGCTCCTTCATCTTGGCCAGATCCAAAGCCTCAGCCGTGATCTTGAAGCCCTCCATCGTCTCGGCCATGCACACGGCGTTCAGGATGGCCTCCTCGGTGCAGTCGGCGGCGGCCTCGAGCAGCGAGTTGATGGTGGCGTCCTCGACGAACTCGGCGGGCAGCGCGCGCGGCACCTCGCGGTCGGCGTCCTTGCGCTGCACGGGGACGCCGTCGCCGGCGGTCGAGAAGGCCAGGAAGATGTCGCCCGACTGGTTGGCGCCCCAGCCGCCGACGCGGGCCAGGCCCGAGGTGGCGCGCTTGGCCACGCGCTGCAGCTGGGTCGGGTGCAGCGGCGCGTCCGTGGCCAGGATCACGATGATGCTGCCTTCGCCGCCCTTGCTGCGGGACTGCGACCGCATCGCCGACTTGAAGAGCAGGTGGGACTGCGCCATAAAGGCCGGGTTGGTCGGGTCCGTTCTGGCCAGGCGCTCCTGCTCGGCGTGTATGAGGCGGCCGATGGGCGCGCCCGAGATGCGAAAGTCCACCATGCGGCCGTAGTTGGTCTGGACTAGGGCCGCCATGGTGTACTGCCTGCCCGCCTCGCCGGGGATCACGCGGCTGCTGGAGCCGGTGCCGCCTTTGAACCAGTGGCAGAGCATGCCGGTGCCGCCGCCCGTGTTTCCCTCTGGGACAGGGGCGTCGCTTGCGCTGTCTATGGTTTCCCGCATGCTCAGGATAAGGGAGGAGATCCAGGAATATGCAGGGGGATCTTGGGGCGCTTACCGATCCCCTCGACCACGTGGCTAGGCAGCACGGCAAACTTTGTCACGTCGTGCATAAACCCGTCGTACGTCTCGGCGATGACGGGGGTCAGAAACCAATCGACGGCCCCGCGGCTGTCGGCATGCTCTCGCACGGCGTGCTCGTAAACGCCGTTGTACGCGCTGCCGACGCCGAAGCTGCCGGTAATTATAATGGGCGAGTGCAGCAAGCCCGACTCCTCGATCCAGTGGGACCCCGTCATCTCGCCGCTGCCGTTGAAGCGGAAAATCCCGGCGAAGCATGCCCGCTCGAACCAGTCCCGGCGCGGCAGGATAGTGGTGACGCCCGTGTTGACGCTGCCGGGGGCGGCGCCCGGGTGCTCGTGGATGGAGGTGGTGGACACCAGGACGCCGGGAACGTCGGTCAGGCTGTTCTTGGGGCCCGGGGCCAGCCGCCCCAGGTAGACGCCGGGCAGGGCGTCCCGGACCCGCTGGCGGGGAGACGATGCGGAGGGCGAAGGGTTGGTGGCCATTGTAATGCTCTGGTTCGTGGTGTCTAGCCTTGGTTTTCAGGTGAGTATCTTGAGACGAAGGGATTTTGCTTGGCCTGGGTCGGGCGGGAGCTCTCGCGGTTTTCTTTTGAGCGAACTCGAGATAGTACGGCTCATCTCACCTCCATCCACACGCCGCGTGACTCAGCCGGTGAATGCGGGGGACCCTGCATCCATCTCTAGCGATGGATAAGCATCGATTGATGATGGATAAGTATCGGCTGATGCTTACACTTCACAAGCTGGTGCGGGGTTGCCGTCGAGAAATGTGCCATGTGTTGTTGTATTCTCGTCAAAATATGCCGAGACAGGATATAGAAACGCCTTGAACCTATACGACACAACTACGGCCTCCGCGGGGCGACCCCCTCGCGCCCGTCCACGGCATTCCACTGCTGCAGCGCATCAAACAGCTTCCCCCACCTGCCGCCGGACCACCTGTTCCGGAGCGCGTCCCACTCGGGGTCGGGCAGGCAGCCGCGCATGAACTGCAACCAACCGCCGACTATAAAGTCGGCGTACATGGGCCCTGCCCGCCCGCCCATGAACGGGCCGTCCCCGCCGGGGAAGCAGGGGGCGAGCTTGGCGTCCAGGGCGGCCTCGAAGCCGCGCAGCATCCCCTCCCTCTGCTCGGACCCCTCGGCCACCCTGAGGTCCTCCCAGTCCAGGTTCTTCAGCTCGCCCGGCATGCGTGCCATCATGGCGGCCTTGTCGGCGGCGGCGGTGCGCGGGTCGAAGCGCATGTAGAAGCCGGCGAGGGCGGCGCCGTGGTCGGAGAAGACCTGGTCGACCAAGACGTTGAAGGCGCGGTGCAGCGCCACGATGCCGGCGGCGGCGGCGGCATCTCCGGACGCCGGGAACAGCTGGGCTGATGTGGGGGCCGAGGCCAGATACGTGTCCTGCAGGTGTCGGGCGATGTCGAACGAGTCGCCCACCACCGCCTCGCCGCCGCCGGGGCGCGGGTCCCGGATGGCGGGGAGGGTGGGGAAGTCGCTCCCGTCCTGGTGCTTGCGGCTCACGGCGAGGTTGAGGGAGTCGCGTGTCGAGCGGATGGCGTTCAGGGGCGTCCAGGCCGTGCGGTAGGGGACCTTGGAGAAGTTGAGGGCGAAGCTGTTGGAGGTCAGTTGGTTGTTGCGTTAACTGCCGAGTCTGCCGGGTGGACATACCGCGTCTTCCACGGGTTTGGGCCATTGGGGTAGGCCGCAGGGTCGAGGATGATGTCATAGAATACGAGGGTGTTGTCGGAAGAGGCCATGGTTGTGGCTGTGGCAGTGGTGGTTGTAGTTGTGTTTGTTGTCTGAGTGTCTAGCATTGAGGGTCTGGGAGATGAAGTGATGGATTGTATTGTATCGTCTCCAGCAGTCGATGCTCAACTCTGGCCTCTTGTTCTTATAACATCTCCAGATGGCTCATCAGCCGTGCTCCCAATTGAGCGATGATTCATTGTCGGATGAATGCACCACGTTGTGCCAAGTGCGGAACCGGACTGGAGCTCAGTCCTTGATTGATGGTCATTGGCGTTTGGACAACAAATGAGATTAAATCATTAATCATTCTGGTCTGCGCTGATGCTGAAGCAGTCAGCCATGCAGTGTTGCCGTTTTGGGCCTGGAAGGGCCGAGGATGGTGGGGTTATCCTTGGGGTTAATTAGGTACGGTACCTGGGGGTTAATTACCCTGCGGGTTGGTTGGTGCCAGCTGGGCGGCCATCAAGGTGCGCGTTTTCCATTTTCAACCCCTGCAAAATCCAAAATCCTCGCTCTTCTTCCCCTCATGTTTTCTAACAGCGAGACTGACAAAATCTCCAACATGCAAAACAGCAGCAATGCGCCTCTCGCCCTGGCTGCTCGTCCGGTTCGTCGCCCACTCCTCGCTTGCGGCCCTGGCCACGCTGACGGGCGCCGTGGCCCAGGCCGCCGCTCCGGCCGACGGCCCTGACCACCTCGGCCGCATGCACCTGCCCGACCCGGGAGCGCTCCCCGCCGTATCCACCGTGCTCGACGCCGGCCACGACACGCAAAACTCCAGCGCGCGCCACGCCGAGGAAAAGACACGGCTGCTGCGGCGGCTGGACAAGACGCACGGCGAGGCGTGGGACACGACGCACCCGCGCGCGCGCCTGCTCGACGCCCTGCACGCCTACAGCCGGTACGGCGAGCGCACGCGCGCCGACCTGGCGCGGTGGCGCGCCCTGTACGGCAACGTGCCGGTGCAGCAGCGCCTCGTGCTCGAGGCCGCTGTCGGCTACTCGCACAAGCTGGACGAGGCCGAGGCCCTGATCAGCCGCAACGAGGCCCTGTGCGCCCGCATCGTAGCCGCCGCCCTCGAGTACTACGGCGTCGAGGAGCGCGAGCTGCACGCCCACGCGAGGGCGGCCGAGAAGGCGGGCAGGACGCCCGACCGCACCAGCGTCTCGCAGGCGCTCAAGCACTACGTGCGCGACTGGTCCGTCGAGGGTCGCTCCGAGCGGGACAATGCCTTCCCCTGCATACACGCCGTCCTGCGCGAGCTGTTCCCCGACCGCACCGGCCGGCTGGTCAGGGTGCTGCTACCGGGGGCCGGTCTCGGCCGGCTGGGCCACGAGATCGCCGGGCTCGGAGGTGAGGGAGTCGCAAGCACCGACTTGATATAGGGGATAAGACATAGGGGACCTGACACAGGGGCTAATTAACCCAACTGGGGGCACTACGCACGGCAGGCTTCGAGGTCACCAACAACGAGTGGTCCGCGTACATGGCGGTGGCGTATCGCTTCCTGGAGGCGCACCCAGCTAAGGAGTCCAACTCCCTGCACCCCTTTGTGGACGGGTGGTCGCACCACGCGACGACGGAGAACATGTTCCGCAGCGTCTCATTCCCGGACGTGGCCGTCGACGCCGGCAGCGTGGTGCTCGTCGAGGGCGACTTCACGGCCGTCTTCCACGCCGAGAAGGCGTCGGCCACGAGGCGCGCGCGCGGCGCTGCGGCCGGGCCCGGGACGGTCGAGTCGGGTGAGACGTTCGACACGGTGGTGACGCACTTCTTCATCGACACGGCGCGCAACCTGATGGCCTACCTCGACACCATCTACGCGCTGCTCCGGCCGGGCGGCTACTGGGTCAACCTGGGCCCGCTGCTGTACGGCACGGGCCCGTGGGTGCAGCTGTCGCTGGACGAGGTGGTACGTGTCGTCAAGGCCATGGGGTTCGAGTTCGTGCCCGTGCCAGAAGAGTGCGGCGACCTCACGCTCGAGGGGGAGCTGGCCCGCGGCAGGACGGCCGTCTACGGCTTCGACGACAGGGCGCTGACGCGCAACGCGTACCAGGCGCAGACCTGGGCGGCAAGAAAGGTGACGCACTGAGCCTACACTGAGCCGCCTGGGCACATGCGGCCGCATCTGGATACAAAATGAGTTGGATACTACCACATAACAAACATTGCATGGCAGCCGGATATGACCAATATTGGACGCATGAACCCAACTCCAAGCAGGGTCGCACCCAGAAAGGGGCTCACGGGCTCCAGCAAGAAATCACGTGAAGACCCTTCGCCGTGAACACATGGATCCAAAGAGCAAAGAGCGCGCGATGCCCGCTCTGGCCGTTGGACCCCTTGTTTGGGGTCCGCGTATACATACATGTACGGGGGCAGGTGACGACCATCTCCAACACCTCTAGCCGACCGATGCGACGGTCGGGGACCCGAGGGAGCGGGAGGCCGCAATGGGGTTGGGCCGGCTACAGGCGCCGCGGGCCGTTACTGGTGGAATCGAGTCCAGACCTTGTGCTTACGGCTGGGCTGGCGGTCTGGCCCATCCGCCGCCGGGTCAGGGTGTTCCAGTCCTTTGGCTAGGAGGCATGGCGGCCACGCGCGTCTCCCCAACGGCCCATGGGGGTGGGCGTCCCATTGGTACGTACGGTACCACCGTCCCATGCAGGCGTCGACTTTAGCCGTTCATCCCGCTGGTCCCCTCTCCTTGCCTGGGTGTATGCACCTATAATATATGTGTATGCGTCGGTCTTTCTGAGATGGCTCCATTGCAACCCTGATTGCTTTGGATCCTTCTTGAGGCCACAGAATGTATCCCCAACCACACCCTCGGAAGCCATGGCTGTTTCGGCGTCCTGCATCGGGGACGAGCACTTGGCTGGCGGCTGCTCGGGTCTATTCCGAATGTGGCTGCTTCGGACTTGGGGCAAAGGCAGAGATTGCGCACACTGTGAGCAGGGAGCCTACACAGTACACACACACATATAAGCGTCGGCGAGAGGAACAGGGGGGTTGATCAAGAGGAGGTGACAAAAGCTTGGATGATGAGGGCGGTGGATCGATCGAGCAGCCCCCCTGTCGGGCGTTGCTACCGGGGGGCATTCCATGCTGGCAGAGTTTGGGAAGTGGACACGTCCAGGGCCAACGCGCGCGAGCGAGCCCCATCGCCATTCTAGGGAGGAGCCCAAGCCGAGGAGAAGGGCAGGCACACGACTTTTTTTTTTTTTCGCCGAGAGATGAGGGATGTTTTGCGCTGCGACATGCGACCTGGGATGGGCGAGGGAGGGCCAGACCCCAAAAAAAACACGCTTGGTTGGGGAATACAAGAAAGTTAGAGGATGCCACCGACGCACGCTGCTGCACAAGCAAGCATGGAGCATTGGCCAGCTCACCCGTCAAAGGATCGAGCTGCTGTCTGCAGGCCGCTGGCGGCTCAAAGGCGGTCTCGCTGTCTTGCCCTCCCCCCCCCCCTGGTTTTCGGCCCTTCTCGCTTTTCTCCCATTGGCGCGGCTGCCGAAGGGTAGCCGGCAATTTGGTGCGGGGTTTGTGGATGCAACCTGACGCGAAACCTCCAGCCGAAGCGGGAATCAGTGGTGAGATTCGCTGTGTAATTCGCTAGAAGCGAGCTTAGCACTGCCTAGGCTCAGAAGCCCAGCGCCTGTATGTCGTTGAAGAGCCATATGCCGGCCCGTGCGGCAGCGCCTTTCCCGCAGCCACCAGTGGAGAGGCTCAGCTTGGAGACCCGACGGCTCCATCTGTTGTCGCCACGTGCAGCCGATTTTGATGTCTATCATTGCTACCAACTCGGAACGTCAATGCTCTCAACGTGAACTGGCAATGCTACCGTCGCAACAATATCAAGTCTCACATAATAGTAATTTGGCCGTACGAAACGAACGCTCCTTGCTTCCCATCGCCAGATTGCCTCGGCGACGTACAGTGACACCTCGTCCCCTCCTCCACATCTGATGGACCTTGCCCCCAAACGACCGAGAGGCGGAGGGCGGGGGCCCGCGCCAGAGGGAACGGCAACCCCCCCTGTCATTCCCCAACCTCGGTCGCGTGTTGCTGTTCCCCATGTCCCCAGAAAAGAGGAGACCCCGGAAAATGAAGGAGGGGGAAGTAACAACGTTTTTTTTTTTTCTTGCTGACACCCTTGCCAGCCGCCTCCGCAGTCCCTTTGCTCCCCAATACAGTACCAGCGGACGCCATATTACGAGAAAACACGCGAGACAAGTCAAGGAATTCCAACGCGGGGAAACACGGCGCCATTGGTGGGAGAAAGCGGGCCCCCTTGCGCCAACCACAGTGTGCGTGCCTAACATGCGGATTTGACCTCCATCACCCTTGTTTTTTTCCCCAACCCCCAGCCTCCCTTCCCCTCGGGGCAGTCGGTGCCTTTTACAGCCGCCTGCGCGTGTGTGCGCTGGGGGGCGTGCTTGCCGCTTTGTTACACCGTTGGCTCTCGCTCGCTTCTCGGCGGATGATCAACCACGAGCCCGAGACCGGGGTGCAAGTGAGAAAAGTGAGCGAGACGGGCGCGGGTCATGATGAAGCCAAGTGCGCCAGGGGAAGGAGGGGGCATCCCTAGCAGAAGGTGAATTTCTCGGCCGACAATGCCTGGCGTGTCCAGGAACGGAGCATGTTCGTGCGGAGGAGCCAAACCTGACCGGCAAGGATCGGGGCGGTTGCATCGATAGCAGCAGCAGCAGCAGCAGCAGCAGCAATACCACCACCACCACCACCACATGCAAGCAGCCATGCTCCCAACCGACGCACGTTCCCACAGTATCGCCCACTCACAGGCGAGGTAGCAATGAACCCCATGCGTGGAGACCCGGGGGTGCCTAAACGGGTTGTCGCCCACCCTCCCTCTTGCCCTTTCCCCAAAGCGCCATCCCCCTGGTCTTCCGAGACCTACATAAGAAGCGCGGCGATGCCCACCTTTGAAACTTGGCGATGTTCTGTTGTGAGTTAAGACGTGCGTGTGCGCATTTTTCTCTTGCTTGCTGCTTTGCCTGGCACCCTTGAGAAAGGACCAAAGGACACGGGGAAAAAAAGAAACGCGCCTCGTTGCGCGCCAGCTTGCCCATCATGGCGAAGCTACCGAAGATCTACAACACCTACTTCATCGCGAGTATCGCGACGTTGGGAGGCATGCTGTAAGTTGGTGTTTTGGTTGGGGTTGTCACCAAGAGAGGGCCAGAGCCAAAAAAAAAAAAAAAAAAAAAAGACCAGAACTAACAAAACCCCTCCCCAACGCACACAGGTTCGGCTTCGACATCTCGTCCATGTCGGCCATCGTCGTCTCGGAGCACTACATCAACTTCTTCGACAACCCCAGCGGCGTGATCCAGGGCACCATCGGCGGCGCGCTCTCGGCCGGGTCCGTCGTGGGCTCGGCCGCGGCCGGGTTCGTGTCGGACAAGATCGGGCGGCGCGACGCCATCATGGTGGCGTGCATCTTCTGGTTCATCGGCACGGCCGTGCAGGTGGCGGCGACCAACTGGCAGACCCTGGTCGCGGGCCGCGTGCTCAACGGCTTCACCGTCGGCATCACGTCCTCGCAGGTGCCCGTGTATCTGGCCGAGATCGCCAAGAAGGACAAGCGCGGCTCCCTCGTCATCATCCAGCAGCTCGCCATCGAGTTCGGCATCCTGATCATGTACTTCATCTCGGTCGGCTGCATCAACTCCATCTCGGGGCCGGCCATGTTCCGCACCGCCTGGGGCACCCAGTTCATCCCCGCCCTCTTCCTCGTCCTCGGCCTCCCCTTCCTCCCGCGCTCGCCCCGCTGGCTCGCAAAGGTCGGCCGCAACGAGGAGGCGCTCTCGGTGCTGGCCAACATCCACGCCGACGGCAACCAGGCCGACGTGCTGGTCGTGGCCGAGTACGAGGAGATCCTGGTGACGCTGCAGGCCGAGCGCGAGTCGGCGCGCGGCTGGCGCAAGTTCATCGCCAACGGCATGTGGAAGCGCACCATGGCCGGCATGACGGTGCAGGCGTGGCAGCAGCTGGCCGGCGCCAACGTCATCGTCTACTACCTCACCTACATCGCCTACATGGCCGGCCTGCGCGGCAACGTGGCCCTCATCACGTCAGGCGTGCAGTACGCCGTCTTCATCATCTTCACGGGCGTCATGTTCTTCTTCATCGACCGCACCGGCCGCCGCACGCTCCTCATCGTCGGCGCGCTCGGCATGGGCTTCTGCCACTTCGTCGTCGCCGGCACCATGGCCGGCAACCACATCCTGCGACCCGAGGGCGTGGGCGACCCGCCCAACGCCAACGTCGTCTTCGAGGTCGTCGGCGGCAACCCGGCCAACACCGTCATCGTCTTCTCCTTCCTCCTCATCGTCGTCTACGCCCTCACCCTCGCCCCGGTCTGCTGGATCTACGCCGCCGAGGTGTGGTCGCTCGGCACGCGCGCCCACGGCATGGCCCTGGCCGCGCTGTCCAACTGGATCTTCAACTTCGCCCTCAACATGTTCACCCCGCCCGCCTTCCGCGACATCAAGTGGCACACCTTTACCGTCTTTGGCTGCCTCTGCATCGGCGCCGCCGCCTGGTTCTTTGTCTTTTACCCCGAGACGGGCGGCAAGACCCTCGAGGAGATCGAGCTCATGTTCTCGCCCGAGGGCCCGCGCCCCTGGAGGACCCGCATGGGCGACTCGCGCCTCGACGCCGAGATCGAGGCCGTCAAGACCCGCAAGGCCGAGGGCCCCATCGAGGTCGAGCACACCGAGAAGACCGTCTAGGCAGTCTGTTGCGAATCTGCTGCCTCTACTACTCTAAGATACCATCTTGTTTTAATGGGAGTGTGTGGTGGACTAGTTGTCGTTTCTTTTGTCTCGTGCATCTGTCAAATAAGATGGCCACCTGTTTGTGGAATCCGTCTCGTTGTCGCAACTGCAAAATATACAGACAAATCAACGCCGTCTCTCCATTTGCTCAAGGAACAGTGACAGTGAGAGTCGTGCATTAAATATCCAAGGCAGAGAAATCACATTAACCGGATTGTGGTGGCGACAACCCCACAAGAAACACAATCATCAATTAATAAAAGAAAATATCAAATCCTGCATCTCTCGTCTGGTATTCATCGTGCAAAATGTTATCGTGTTTGCATGTTATTTTTTACGATAGTAGCAGCTCAGGTTTGTATGAGCGCCCTTTGGCGACAAACATGCCCAAGATTTGCCCTGTCTCTAAACCCTGCCTCAATCTTACCTTACAAGGCCCACTCTGGGACCGTCCACCATCAAATCAACCAGCCGCGATGGTCTAGTGGTATGATTCTCGCTTAGGGCACACCCTGAGTTGATCACTGGGAAACCAACTGATCTACAATTTGCGAGAGGTCCCGGGTTCAATCCCCGGTTGCGGCCGTGCTTTTTGGTTTTTTTCGGTTTGAAGCCAAAACCAACCTCCTTACTTTTTTTTAGCCGATCACAACGATCATAACTACAGTATGATGCGTGCAGCGAGCGGTTCGTAACCTTTGAATAAATCCTTCCCATAAATATGTACAAATCAATTAAAATAAAAAAGCACAAACGCCAGCCAGCCCCTAACCTTCCCAAACCCATGCCTAAACATACAAATTCGCAACGTTGCTCTTGATAAACGCGGCGCTCTCGCTCCTGAAATCGTCCCGGATCAGGCTCGCGTCCTTTGCGAAAAAGTTCATCAGCATGCGGCCCTTGGACCAGCGCGGCCAGTTCATGTAGCCCGTCACGCCCACGTTGGGGTCCATGTTGTAGATAAAGTTGGTATAGTAAACCATGGTGGCGCGGCTGGCGTAGTTGGGCAGGATGCCGTAAAACACCTGCAGCAGGTCGCTGCCGTGGAAGGTGCCCAGGATCGGGAGCCCGTAGTTGTAGCTCGACAGGTAGCTCCACGACGGCACCGACGGGTTGACGGCGTTGGCGATGTCGAGGAACGCCCGGCGCGTCAGCGTGAAGACCAGGTCGCCCAGGATGGCCGCCAGGCGCTTGAAGCCCGGGTAGATCTCGTTGAGGATGCCCGTGCCGAAGGGCGACCCCTGCGTCAGGTACGGCCAGTCGTACGTGCCCACGAGGGCCTCGATGGTGGAGCGGGGCGCGCCCTGGAAGAAGTAGTCGTTGAGGTACGTCACGAGGCGGTCCGAGCTGGTCACGTTGCGCTGGAACAGGCTGAAGAGCGTGCCCTCGTCCTCCTGGTTGCCGTTGATCATGGGCACGGCCGCGTACCGGCCCGACGCGAGCAGCACGTCCGGGCTGGCGGGGAGGACGCGGCCGTCGGGCCTCGGCAGGTACGAGAGCGCGACGGAGCTGTACGATAGCAGGCCCGGGACCGAGTTGGCGGCGGGGAGGAAGCGGTCGAGCGGCAGGGCGCGCAGGCACGCGAGCGTGTCGCGGGCGGCCGAGCAGCCGGCCGACCGCACCACCTGGGCGTAGACGGCCTTGCCCTTGGGGCAGTCCATGGGGTCGGCGGGCACGAGGCTGCCCGAGTTCATGATGCCGGCGCGGAACAGTGGTTTGCTCTTGTACGTGATGTTGCCGCCGTAGAGCGCCATCTGGTCAAAGACGGAGATGGCGCCGGCCGACTCGCCCCAGATGGTGACGCGGTCCGGGTCGCCGCCAAAGGCCGCGATGTTGTCGGCCGTCCACTCGAGGCCCATGCGCTGGTCCAGCAGCCCGGCGTTGGACGAGCCCTCGGCCATGATCTCGGCGCCCGGCATGAAGCCGAAGGCGCCCACGCGGTAGTTGACCGCCACGAAGATGAAGGGCTGCCCAACGTCGATCCCGTTTTGGATGAGCGGGCCTCCGTCGTACATGGCGGTTCCCCCGAGCTGTGATTCCAAACTGTCAGCGGACTGCATTCCCCTCAAAAACGCACCATGTATGGCAGACGCTAAAAAAAAGGGGATCAAGACATACCTCGAAGCCGCCGCCAAAGATCCAAAACAGAACAGGCAGCTTGTCGCCGGCCTTGACGCCGACAGGCCGCTGCACGTTGATGTTGAGGCAGTCCTCGGACACCTTTGTGATGGTCTGGATGAGCGGCAGGTTGGCGAGCTTGCCGAGCGCGTTGAAGAGGGCGTCGCCCGACTCGGTCGAGATGAACATCTGCGGGCACGACGCCGGCACCAGCGTGGTGGCGTCGTAGGTTCCCAGCTGCCTCGACAGCCGCTGCGGCGGCCGGAAGCGCAGGTTGCCCACGGGCGCGTCGGCGAACGGGATGCCCTTGAAGGACTCGACGTTGCCGATGGACGCGCCCACGACGGTGGCCGACGGCCCCAGAGCCACCGTGACCCTGGCCGCCCGCTCCTCCAGCGCCGCCGGGGTGGCGGGCGCCGGGGCCTCCAGTGGCGGGAGCACAGCGGCTTGGCCCAGGGCGGCCAGCAGGCCGCCGGTGAGGCAGGAGGAGAGCACGGTGGGCCGCATGGTGGCTCGTTGTAGCTCGCGTGGTGCCAAGACCAAGTAAGGGGGCTATGACTGGGCAAGAGACCGCCGAGATTTCTAGCCTCGCTGGTGTGGCCTCGGAGCTGTGGGTAGCGTATCAACCAGCAGACGACGGCGCATCTAGGTGGCGAACATGGCCATCTATATACGAGCCACTCCGCTCGTGTATGCTCTCGCTCCCTCCCGATGTTGTGCAGGGGTGGGCCACGTTGAGAAGTTGGTGCGGGAGAGGCGTAGAGGCGGTGGGTGGGCTCGCCCTCCCCAGCTCGGTTGAGAGCACCCCCAAGTCGGGAGGGCCGGGAGCAATCTCATTCTGGAGATCGCTTCCTATCCAAGTCTAGGGCTCGGCGTCACTCGCATCCAGCCCCGTCCGACTGTCCCTCGTGTAGAGGTATGGGCCAAGACTAATAGGAAAGTTTTTCTCGTCGCTGTGGAGACATTCTCTCGCTCTCGTAAATCCTTGCCGTTTCCTCTCGCAGCTTTATTCGCGAATGGGCTAGGATGCCGGCACGGTTGGCGCCCACATGAGGTGCATGTCGCCAGGGACCGGACTCCACACCAGGGCGCACCCAAGGGCTAGTCACGCACCCGTTCATGTGCATCACGAGAATGCCGTCAAGGAGATATGTTCGAATGAGGAAGTGTGGCCCGGAGCGAACGCGGGGTCAGTATTAGCCACGCGCTGGTGACGAGCGTGCAGAAGGGCCAGAGAAGACGGCCGGTCCATGTTTGGGAACCTCTGGCGTGCCTTGCGGGCGCTTTGGGCTGGTCATGGTACACCGATACGAACCTAGCCGTGCCACGAGGTCAAAGCCACGGCAGAAACGAATATCGAGCCTTGGCTGGCGACCTGATAGTGGTGGATAGGCAGCATCGAGATATGCTATCCCAAGATCCGGACGAAGCGTAGGGCATAGAAACCCTCGTCGTTCCTCGTGGTTCCTAGGTTTGGTGACGACATTGGCTCGGCATTCCTGCAGCCGCAAGTAACAGCAAAAAAGGCAACGGCATGGGGGCGGAGGCTAGCAGCAGACTGCCGGGTTTGGCACATGCAAGGCATCGTTGATGGTCGCATTCCAGTGCTCCTTGCTAGGTTGACCTCGGCAAGGAACAGGAGCGCCCAGGCTATTGCTGCAGCCAATATCACATTTGCAGCTCCGTCACCCGCTCGGCGCAAGACGGTGGCTGCTCTAGGGAGGGCGCGATGTTGTTGGACAGGAATGGCAGGCTGTGGTTGGTGGGTTCTATTTCGGGTGGGTTGCGCGGTCAGCTGGACCACAGCCCTCCCGAGTTGGCGCCTTTGGGCTGGCAAAGCAGACCCCGATCCGTCCAGGGTCCCAACGTGGGGGCGATGAATGGGGTGATAGTGAATGTGCCCAACTATCAAGGTAAACCCTAACAGGACGGCAGTCCTGGCGGGCGGCAGCGTGCCCAACGCGGAAGAAAGAACTTGAGCTCCACATCGCTTACATTTACCCCAGATCTGGCGATGCGGGGAATCTCACCTTCCAGGCTAGGTTAGCTGCAATGTGACAGCACAAATACATTTCAGCGGCTGGGGGGAATGACAAGAGCTTAATATTGAATCATAGAATAGGCATCCAAGACCCATATTCTGATCAGGTTGGGCGGTGAGCCGAGGTGTGCTGCTGATGGGAAAAAGAGGGCAGCTGGCCGGTGACCTACGCCCATACCATGCACGTCGTAGACTTTGGGCTGCGGCCCGGTGCAGTTGATATTCAGGAACAGGGTCGAGGATCGCGAACTTCCCCGAGAGCTAGGAGGCCTGGCTTGGCCGCCAGCCGTGGGCGGGTGACGTGGCGTTTGCACTGCTGATCCCGGTGCGTATCCCATGCGGATTTCTTTTCTGGATGGCCTGTATTCTGGAATTTCCCCAACTCAGCTCCACCTCAGCCCCGTAGAGGCATCGAGGTGGTGGTCACGCGCGCGTATTTGTTGGCAGGCTGTGCGTCCCCACCCCCTCAACTGCGAGTAATTGCCAATACCGGATGCTTATTGGTAATAACGAAAACCTGGCCGAACGGCTCGCGGGTTGCAGCGAAGCCTGGAGTCCCACGCTGAGACTTGGGTAAGAAGGACGTAAATCCCACCATCTGTGATGACGGGGTTTCTCGACTCCGAGTGTTACTGTCCCGTCGAGAACAAAATTCGCGCGTCCGCTTGCTACCCAATGTCCACCCGCGTATTGAGAATGGCGGGGCTCACTGACGTGTTTGCAAAACGACCCCACGATGGTGGGCTATATCGGCGAGAAGGCGGGTTTTCTAGGCGCCAACAACGGCAACCGCCGCTCGCGATTCAAATTTTGTTGAGAACACATGGCTGTCATCTCGCTGTGGCCGCCGGTTGGCCAGCTGTGAGATTTGAGATTTGAGATTTGCCGTGGACCCTTCCTAAGTTAGCTTGAGTCCGGTCCAAGATATCCGCGGTACGCGCCCGACTTGGCCTGCACGGAACGTCGATCGTGATCAAGGCGCAGAGTTTGATGCGGGGTAGACATTGCGGACCGAGGAGCCGGCATGGCTGGAATCTCTGCCCTTCCCTTCTGGAGGCCAAAAGCGGAAGAGTTATTCGGGGAGAAACTTGAATAGCCCGGGAAGAGTTCCAAGAGCGGACGGCCTCGGTTAATAGTCTGTAAGCGTGACCTGGGCTTTTGCGAGGGGATTGGCGAGATGGCAGATGAGGTGCCAACAGAAAAGGGCAGCTTCCTGAGTGCCTGAGTGGTGCAAAATGACTTGCAGCCAATTGCGTCACTGGATTTTCTGCTTCTGGCAGAGTCACGTGAGACCATCATTCAGTCACGGTCTCACGTGACCCTGCTTGGCATCCCTGCAGATTCATTCCCAGCTGCAACGGCGGTGGCAGGCACAAAGCCTGCGTTTCAGCAACCGCAGCCGGGGAGCCTCGGATCCGAAACGGCTGTGACCCGTGCGCTGAACCTTGGGTATGGCTGTTGGTTGTTGGCAGGAGAAGCGGAAAATCGTGCGGCTGCAAAAGAGACATGTTCATTCCACGCCGTCTGCTAGTTGCAGACGCGATGCCCAGGTAGCGGTCAGTGCCAATTATAGCTCCACAAGCCCCAGTCCGAGCCTGCCTTGGTCGAAACCGTGATTGTCTGTTTTGCGACTCGGAAGCGCGTCGTCACGGCGGCGACCCGACTGGGTATTTTATTTTATATATTTTATTCTATATCTACGGACCTGGAGTACCCTTATCTCAAACACCAGGCGAGAACACCATGGCACGGCGACGCGGCCTGGTGCGCCTCACCCTGGTGGCCGCCGTCTTCGTGTTGGCGCTGTACTGGTACGGCCCCCTCGGCAACTACCCGACGCGGCGCTTCCGCCTCCCGCTGCGCAAGGACGGCCCCGTCGAGTTCGTGCCGTCCAGCTACGACTGGGCCGCTTTTGAGCACCACCACCCACGCCCGGCGGCCGCCATGGTGCGCCTCCCGGTGGCCGACGGGCAGCGGCCGATGCCGCGGGTGCAGCACGACTTTGCGCGCGACGGCGGGCCCGAGGCCCTGCACGCGCAGATGGCCGAGGCGCGGCTGACGGCGGTGCGGGCCGCCATCAAGAAGAGCTGGGACAGCTACGCCAGGGAGGCCTGGGGCCTCGACGAGCTGCGCCCGCTCGACGGCGGCGGCCGCGACACGTTTGGCGGTTACGGCGCCACGCTGGTCGACTCGCTCGACACGCTCTGGATCGCCGGCCTGCGCGCCGAGTTCGCCGACGCCGCGCGCGAGGCCTGCCGCATCGACTTTACCGCCACGTCCAGCACGAGCCTCAACGTTTTCGAAACCACCATCCGCTTTCTCGGGGGTTTGCTGTCCGCCTACGACCTGAGCGGAGAAAAGGCGCTTTTGCTCAAGGCCCGCGAACTAGGCGATCTGCTGTACGCGGCCTTTGACACGCCCAACCGCATCCCGCCCTTCTGGCTCGACTTCGCCGACGCGCGCAGCGGGAACCAGTGGGCGGGCGTCGGCACGCCGAGCGCGTCGCCGGGGTCGCTGAGCCTCGAGTTCACGCGGCTGGCGCAGCTCACGGGCGACCACAAGTACTACGACGCCGTCGACACGGTGTCGCGGTACCTGGAGCGCACGCAGAACAGGACGCGGCTGCCGGGCCTGTGGCCCACCATCATGAACTTCCGCCCGGACTCGGACGACGCCGACGCCGTGGCGGAGCAGCACTACAGCGACTTCACGCTCGGCGCCCTGGCCGACTCGCTGTTCGAGTACCTGCCCAAGATGCACGCGCTGCTCGCCGGCGCCGACCCAAAGTACGAGGCCATGTACCGCACCGCCATGGCCGTGGTCGAGAAGCACCTCCTGTTCCGGCCCATGGTGCCCCCGACCGCCGGCGGCGGCGGGGCGGGCGCGCCCGAGGTGCCCGACATATTGTTTTCGGGCTCGGCGGCCGTGGGGCGCGACGACGCGCCGCCCCAGACGAAGCACGAGAGCCAGCACCTGGCCTGCTTCGCGGGCGGCATGTTCGCGCTGGGCGGGCGCCTCGTCGACGACGCGCGCCACGTCGCCGTCGGCGAGCGGCTGGCGCGCGGCTGCGCCTGGGGCTACCGGAGCTTCCCGACCGGCCTGCTGCCCGAGATATTCGGCCTGGCCGCCTGCCCCGGAGGAGACGAAGCAGCAGCGGGGGCGTCGGCGCCGCCGTGCGCGTGGGACGAGGAGGCGTGGAAGAGCCAGGTCCAGCCGTGGGGCGGCAGCTCCGGGCGCGAGGTGGCCGAGGGCAAGGCCAAGCGCGCCATGCCCAAGGGGTTCACGCACGCGCGCGACGCGCGCTACATACTGCGGCCCGAGGCCGTCGAGAGCCTGTTTGTGCTGTACCGCGTCACGGGCAAGGAGGAGCTGCGCGACATGGCGTGGCAGATGTTTCTGGACATTCAGGTCGCCACGTCGACGCACCTGGCCAACGCGGCCGTCGAGGACGTCACGGTCACGGGCCAGACGGTCAAGGTGGACTCGATGGAGGTAAGTCTGTGGAATCTGCCCACGTTTCTCTCTGTCTTCTGTGGATAGGTATCCAAGCTAACCTTTGATCCTACACGACAGAGCTTTTGGCTCGGCGAGACGCTCAAATACTTCTATCTTATTTTCTCCAAGCCCAACGTCATCAGCCTGGACGAGTGGGTGCTCAACACAGAGGCGCACCCGCTGCGGAGACCAAAGGTGGCGTCCAAGGCGTAGCTGGTGGGGTAGGAGATGGCATTATGCATAAAATGCGTCGTTTTGTTCAGGCTCAGGTCCTGTTTTTGATATAGATATTTGTAGAAGTGCTAGAGGCGTACGTCATACTCGATGATATAGTTTCAAAAGATGCCAATTGTGAACGCGTGTAGGAGCGCGATCCGTTAAACTATCCCTTTGTTCCAGCATCTCGCTTTCGCCCGCGTGATGGATTTTGCCACTATTTTGGGACCTCGGCTGGTGACTGACGGAGAAGGGGAAAAGAAAAAAAATCTTGCGGCTCCCTCCCTGTCCCTCTCACGCCGAGGGGACAGAACAGATGACATGTTCCCACTGGCGCAGATCATAGAATCGATAAGGCCGCGTCTTGGGCGGCCGACACCGCTCCTCTGGCGAGCGTTGACCCTGTCCGGATCATTCATGCCCAGTGGCGCAGGACAGGGCAGCACAGCTCTGCCCCGGTTTTACAATCAAAAAGAAGATGCAATAACCCGGGGGAAAAAAAAAATAGGGAAGCGGGCTCAGACTGATCGGGGCCGTTTGCATTGCGCGCCAACCGGTTTGCATCTGCGGTTGGGCTGGGATTCCCCGCGGGCGGCCGTTGGGCAAGACCACGATGGGAGGAGGGGGAAAGGGAGCATGGACGCTGGAGATTACATGCATGCGGGCTCAAGTGTTTGTCGTCCCATGCGACGGATGGGATCGGTAGGCTGGCGTTTGTTGCAAGACGAACGGCTGGGACAGAGAGAGAGGGGGAGGGGCTGCAGCCTCGGCGGCATGTTAATCAGGCGACGCGGGCCACGCAGTTGGCACACTCGAGTAGCAGGTAGACGCAGACAGCAGGGCAGACTGTAATCAAGCACAATGCATCGACAGCACCCGGCCAACAGCCCGCAACCACATCTCGACGCGGAAGAAGCGATGCCTCTCGGTAACTCCCACACCAAGCGTCAGACCCGCGCCCGTCGCGACGAGCCGAGAAGAAGCGGTGACACGGCGTTTTTCTGTGCCAGCAAAGGTCACGGCGTGTGGGATGCCGCAGAAAAGAGCCTCCAGAGCCTCCAGAGCCTCCTCAGAAGACCAGCTCAGGCCAGACCTTGGGTCGATCCGCCGAAAAAAGGAGGTGGGGCGGATGGAGGGACAGGTGCGCCACCAAATCTGAAACGGCCCTTGTCTGACCCCTCGATCAGCCCAGGGGCGGGCAAGGCCGCTGTTTGGCTCGCGGCCCAGATTCCACTGCCCAGCAAGCCACTCGCGTCCCATCTCGGCCGCCTCTCCCCTCCCCTAGCTTCGCACCTTTTCGTCGGCACCAGCTGCCCGGACCATGTCGCCCGGGCTGCCGTCGCCACTCTCCAGCCAGGAAACCCTCCCCCTGCTCACGGGTGACAAGAGTGCGTGCTTTCCGCGCCCTGGCCTGCGTACCATTCAGGCCCCTTTCTTGGGCCAACTGCCGTTGGCGAGGGAGGGCCCACCCCTGCTTCCCTTGGCCAGTGTGGCCTCGACTCCTTTTCGTTACTCAAAATGCCCACCACGCCCGGCTGGCTTCCGCCCGCGCACTAAACCAGCCTCGTCCTGCTAAGAGGTTTGCCTAGAGTTCTTCTCCCCCAAAGCTCCCTCGTGGTGGTTGTCGACTCGACGGTCCGATGTTTTGCTGATCTCATCTCTCCGTCTCTTTTCCTTCGTCCTTCTTTCACTTCTTCGCCCAACCCTTTTTTTCCCATTCGTTAAGCTGGCCTGGGCCGCTCACTTTCGCTGCTTCGGATTGTGTTTGTTGTTATTTTTTCCTGTTTGTTTTCGTTCCGTCGTTTTACTATCCCATCTCGTCGCCTCTTGGACCATCCCGTACGAGCCGTAGTTTGATACTCCTTCGTTTGCGTCGTCTCCCCTGCTAGTCGCGCTAGCAGCCGACCCTTGGATCGCCAAAACCCAGCGATCCTCCTACTTTCAACTCGAGGGCTTGCTCCTACGAATCCTTCTTCCCCTCGCATTTTCCGACCATGTTTTCGACGCCACTTGCCATCCTGGGCCTCGCGGCCGTCGTGGCCCAGGCCAAGGTCCAGTTTCTCGGCGTGTCTATCTCGGGCGGCGACTTTGGCTGCACGATAGACGGCAGCTGCCCGACGGGTCAGGTCCAACTGCCCCTGAGCTCGCTGGGCGGCGGCGACGGGCAGGGCCAGATGAATCACTTCGCCAAGGACGACGGCATGAACATGTTCCGGCTGCCCGTATCGTGGCAGTTCCTCGCCAACAACCAGCCGGGCGGCACGCTCGACGCCCGCAACCTGGGCCGCTACGACCAGGTGGTGCAGGCCTGCCTGGCCACGGGCGCGCACTGCATGATCGACATACACAACTTTGCGCGGTGGAACGGCAAGGTCATCGGCCAGGGCGGCCCCTCGGACGACGACTTCGCCGGCCTGTGGCGCCAGCTGGCGGCCAAGTACGCCGCCAACGAGAGGGTCGTGTTCGAGCTCATGAACGAGCCGCACGACCTCGACGTCGCCGCCTGGGCGCGCACCTGCCAGGCCGCCGTCACGGCCATCCGCCAGGCCGGCGCGACCAGGCAGATGATCCTGCTGCCCGGCACCAACTTCGACAGCGCCGCCACGCTCGTGTCGAGCGGCAGCGCCGACGTCCTCATGGCCGTGCGCAACCCGGACGGCAGCACCGACGGCCTGCTGCTCGACATCCACAAGTACCTCGACGTCGACAACTCGGGCACCCACAAGGAGTGCACCACCGACAACCGCGCCGCCTTCGCCGAGGTGGCCGCCTACCTGCGCCGCGCCGGCCGCAAGGGCCTCGTGTCCGAGACGGGCGCGTCGCTCGACGGCAGCTGCATGACGGCCTTTTGCTCGCAGAACGCCCTCATCAACGAGAACGCCGACGTCTTTGTCGGGCTCGTCGGCTGGGCTGCCGGCTCGTTCCCGACCTCGTACATCCTCAGCATGACGCCCAGCAAGAACGGCAACGCCTTTGTCGACAACGCCATCACCAAGCAGTGTCTGATCGACACCTGGCTCAACGCCAAGGCTGTGGCACCCGCTCCCAGTGTTGCTCCTGCGCCCAGCGCCGCCCCGGCTCCCACCTCGGCCCCGGCCCCGGCCCCGGCCGCCCCCGCTGCCTCCAGCGCACCCGCACCTGTCTCCCCCGTCGCGCCGCCGGCTTCGAGCCTCCCGCCCTTCATTCCCGCCCCCGCGCCGTCGGCATCCTCGGCATCATCCTCGACATCATCCTCGGCATCATCCTCGGCATCATCCTCGGCATCATCCTCGTCCTCCCCCTCCTCCACCGCCCTCCTGGTCGCCTCCTCCACCGCCCTGCTCGTCGCACCGCCCCGCTCCCGCTCCACCTCCTCCTCCGCCTCGGGCTCGCCATCGTCCTCCAAGCCCGCCTACCCGACCCGCATCGTGCCCTCCGAGGTCTTGGGCACCGGCGCCGCCGCGACCAAGGACTCGGCCGCGCCCACCACGCTCCTGGTCGCCGCCGGCACCCCGCCGGCCCGCGCGCCCTACGGCGGCTCCTCCGGCGTGCGCTCCTCCAACGGCTCCACGCCCGTCTCGTCCCCGAGCCCGTCCGCCTCCAGCACCAGGCCGCCCATCGCCGCCGCCGCCGGCTCCGTCTGGCAGCCGGCGGCCGCCACCAGCCTCGTCGCCGTGTTTCTGGCACTTGCTGCCCTGTTCGTGTAGAGGGATTGTGGTCTTGTTTTGTTTGTAGTTTTGCTCTCATGATACCAAGCTTGTTAGAAATCCAAGCATTAAAATAACTCGACGCATTAGGATATTGGAGTTTTGTTGAATATACAGCTATGCCCTTGCGTTATTCATCGCATCAGAAAAGCAATTGAATCCTACCCTCGTTGGCATGGGAATGGTTCTACGTTTACCTTTGTGTCTTGACAGCTCAGCTTAAAACAAACACGCGGGTGTCTTCCGGACAAGCCTCGTCGATGGCCTGCCCCTCCATAATCCCCAGTACAAACGCCTCGCCCACAAACTCATGCTGCGCATCTTCCGGCTGCCCACCACTCCCCTCCGCAAAATCGACCTCCTGCTCCCGAATTATGAAGGGAACGGCCCCGCCCTGCAGCGCCACCACCTTGTCGCCCACGCGGGTCTTGAAGGGCGCTATCCCGATGTACCCCTTCTCCGTGATGATAAAAGACCGGCCGTGGCACCGGCTAATGCAGCAGTCGGTAAACGGCCTGACGAAATCCCTGCGCGCCTCCTCCGATCTTCTTCCCCCCTCGGCGTACTCGGCGCGGCCGAGCCACACGTCAAAGTACCGCCCGAAGCCCGCCTCGACCCTGGCCCGGTGCCACCCGCGGTCGCGCATCAGCGTCCGCCACAGCGCCTCGCCGCGCCCCATCCCCAACCGCCCGTAAGGGAACCCCTCCTCGCCGTTGCCGCTGCTGCTGCTGCTATCCCACTTGGCCGCCGCCATGGCCTCCCAGCGCAAGACGTTGGCCCGCGTCTGCGCCGCGCGCGCGGCCACGTTGGCGGCCCGCTCGGCCAGCACGTGGCCCGCGTACGGCGCCATGTACGGGTTCGGGCCGACGCGCTCGACCGTGTCGACGTGCAGGCCGCGCAGGCGCATCTCGCGCCACGACGGCGGCGGGGAAGGAGACGGGGACGGGGACGGGGATGATGGCACGCTAGCGCCGCCCCAGCACGGCGCGTCCACGGCGCCGCCGGCGCGGTATCCCTCGCCCGTGGCGGCCACGTAGCCGCGCCCAGGCCAGGCCGGGTCGGACGAGTAGTCTGGGCACCACGACGGCAGCTCGTGCACCGGGTTGACGTTGTCGCGGTCGAACTGCAGCCAGAGGAGGGACTGCGTCTGCGCGACGAAGAGCGCAGCGGCGCGGGCGTCTGATTTGTGGTCGTTTAGCCTTTTTTTCTTCTTCTTTTTCTTCTTCTTTTTCTGTACGGCCTTGGGAGAGGAACCATGTGATAAGAGAGAGAGAGAGAGAAACACTTGCAAACTTGAGCAACGCTCTGCGAATAGTCAGGCGCCACGGCGCTCACGTCCTGCGGCCTCGCCAGCCCCAGCAGGCCGTAGATCTTGTCGCGCTGGTCCGTGGCGGCAAAGGTGTCGACAGAGGGCGTCCACTCGCACAGCGGCACGGCCCCGGCCGCCACCTTTGGCTTGTCGTCCGGGTAGTCGGTGAGCACGGCGCGGAAGGCGTTGCCGCGGATGGCGAGCCGGTCCCCGGCCTCGGAGTTGCCGAGGTAGCGCCGCTCCGGGCGCACGTAGCCGCGCCGCACATCGTCGAGGTGCACAAAGGCGTCAAAGGGGAGCGTGGCGCCGCCGCACGTCATGATGGGGTTGCGCGACAGCATGACCTCTTGAGATGGATGGATGATTTTTTTCAGCAACTCTTGGACACACACAGAGAGACGAGGGGGGGGACAACAAAAACACACACACACTCACTCACCCTGCAGCACCCAGATGCGCGACCACCACTCCCGCCCCTGCAGCGCGTTGATGGCAGCCACCTGCGCCTCGGACAGCGCCCCGTCCGGGAGCGCGTACACGCGCCGCTCGTGCAGGTCGCCCACGGCCGCCATGGCCACGTCGCTATCCTCCGCGGCCGGGCCGAGCCAGACGCACGTGTCGGCCGCGCCGGCGTAGACGTCGCGCATGAGCGTGATCTGGTGCGACTTTTCGGCCGCGTCCCGCTGGTCGATGCACAGCGCGTCCACCCAGAGCGGGACGACGACGACCCCGGCCGTCGTCGTCGCCGTCGTCGTCGTCGTCGTCGCAGCGAGGTGCCGCAGGGCCACCGCGAGGTTCCGGGTGACGCGCACGCGGGACGGCGGCTGCCCGGCCAGCGTGATGCCGTCGTCGGCGTCGCACAGCTCGGTGCCCCAGACGTACGACAGAGCCGTGTACTGCGGCCCGTCGTCGAGCGACACGACGATGAGCGTCGCGCGCAGGTCCGACGGGTCCGGCTCGAGATGGAGCAGCCGGATCTGTCGCCGGGACGGGTCGAGCTGCGTAAAGGGCGCTTTTTTCTCTCCCATGGCGGCTGCTGTCCGAGTTCGCCCTCACGACTGGGAGTGCATGATGAGGGGTTTCTTCCATTTGGGGCTAGCTTCGACACATGCACTATAATCATTCCGCCACCCGACAATTGATACACACCATGGAGGAGGGCCTTCATATCACTCACACCAATAAACTCATGCCATGGGGCTGAAAGGCTTCATGTCCAGCAAGATCGCCAGACGTGCCACACCAATTTGAGCACTCCAGACCAGCCAATACCAAGATCCATGGCTGAAAGCCAGCCAGCTAGCCCACCACGGCGAGGAAGTCCCGAGCTTCTATATTCCCGTCTAATCACCCCTGGCATCCAACATGCCCCTTGCCGATCCAAGGACCAGGTCTGGCGCGGTTAAAATGGATCAAAGACGGAACAAACCACGAGCCCCGACCAGTCGGGAGCCGTCAAGCCTGCATCGTGACAAAAATAGCCAGCACCTCCGGAAGAATTGTCTAGCATTGTGCAGCCCAACCAAGCAACCGAAATCTGGCTCAGCTCGCTTGGGCATATCCAGGATATAAATGAAGACCAGAACACCCTCCCAGGTCGGATGTCGCCACGGAGCCATCAAGCAGGTTTGGTGCTGGAAAGAAAGAAAGAAAAAAGCTTGGGTTTGTCCATTCGGGGGGAGAGGTCATGTATATAAATAGAGGTGCTGCGGATGCAAGCCATCTGTGACCGAGCGTGTGCAAACACCATGAAACCCAGCCCTTGCAGCCGCCATCATGCTGCCTAAACCAACCGCCGTCCTCCCCCTCCTCCTATGCCTGGCCGCCGCCGCCCCCCAGCCAGCGACACTGCTGAGGCGGAGCTACACGCGCTCCTGCGACGGCTGCGCCCTGTCCGACACGCACTACCTGCACTGCTACTGCTGGAGCGCCGGCGGCCGCCGCGTCGAGACCGAGATCGACCTCGACTGGTGCGTCACCAACAGCGGCGGCGAGCTCGCGCCCAAGGCCAAGTCAGTTTTCTTCCCTTCTCTTCGCCCCGGCCCCATCTCTCCTCTTGCTCCGAAGCTGCATGTGCTGACGCCCAAGAAAAAAAAACAACCACAGCGGCGCCTTCTCCAAATCATGCAGCCACGAGCGCTGGGACGAGGGCACCACGAACGTGCTCGTGGCCTACTGCGGCGACGGCCGCGGCGGCGCCAGAGACAGCAAGTTGGATCTGAGTACGCTCCCGAAAAAAAAAAAAAGGCATCCCATCCCACCTCGCAGGGACCGCCTTGCTAATATACATAGATGACTTCGTCCACAACTCCAACGGCATTCTCAGCTGCCATGGCATCGCCGGCGTCGAGGGGCGGGTGCCGGGTGGCCCCAACTGTCCTCATCCTCACACCACATGCTAGATATACGGGACTGTCGTGTTTCAGCTGCCGTGTCGCTGCTTGTCTTATCTTTTCGTAATCGATCCTCACTTTCCATATCCCCTATTTCGCAGCCAAGCACGCCCGCCCGGCCGAGGATCATCTGGTTTCGTCATGGGTTCGTGCTGTGGGCAGCATCAAACAAGACACATCATGGCTACATCGACAGAGTCTTCGTGCTACAAGACAATAGTCTTTCGGTGAGCTGACTGTTCAACACATGTACTGCCTAGGCGTTGGTCATGGTTGATATTGTGTCAATCGAGGACAGGCCAAGACCCTTCTTTCGCATCGTGTTTACCGGGGTCATTGCTAAGAGATACAAACAAGAAAAAGCGTGCCTGAAAAGAACCAGTGGCCAACCAGACACTGAAAGATGCTCCAAAGCAAACCACCCAACCCAACCTTGCCTGAGTTCCTGCGATGCCGCTGAGGCCCGTACTGTATGCATACCAAATTAACTCCGGGAAACAGTCGTAAAATCATTCCGCCCACAAGCCATTTCCCCTTTGGCTCTCAGACCTGGCCGAGGACGTCAATAGTAGGAGATAAGGCGATAAAGTCGTAGGCCCCCGGCTTCTAAAAAGAAAGGTACAAAAAAAAAAAGGTTTAGTTCCTAATTTCTCCATTTCGTCTTCCAGACGATATCATATCAAGCGAACAAGCAATAGGTATCAAAGTCAGCATACCTCAACCTCGGACAATCCCCGTCCCCGCCGCCGCTTAGACGGCGAAGTTGAGGGTGATCGTGACCCATCACCGCTGTTGCCTCGACTTCGCTCCCGACTCCGCTTCTTGCTCTCTTCAGCCACCATCTTGCGTAGTTTGTTGTGCTGCTCCTCGCGCCAGTAGGCCGTGTAGTCGCGGTAACGGCGCTCCTCATCGACCCGAATCCTCTCCACCTCGGCCTGGTAGATGGGGAGCTCCTCGGGGGTGTGGAAGGTGTCGTAGCTCGATCCCAAAAACCCCTTGCCCGTGATATCGGAACCGAGCGCCTTTCCCAGTCGTTCCTTTAAGCCATAAACAGGCCAGACAGGAACCCTGGTGTACGACACGCGCATCGACGAAGTGCCCTTGGGGCCCCGATGCAGAGGCTGGCTTGGTTGTGCAAAGCCCTCGAGGAAGTCTGCTCCGATCCAAGCGGAGTAGACGATGAAGTCCTTGGCATCGGTGTCAAAGGTGAAGAGGCGAACCTCGACATCGCTCATCAAGGCATCGGGCTCGGCGGAGCTAGACTCGCAGCTGCTCGAGGGATCCGAGGGGGATGGCTGTGATAGCCTGAACTTTCGCCTGCCCGTTTTTTTGCTATAAAAGCGGGCCTGCGCCATGGCGATGAGGACGGCAATGAAATGCGCGTCACAGTCTGGGTTGCTGGGCACAAGAGCCTTGGCCCGCAGCCGCTGCAGGTTGGCGACGGGCTTGTTGGCATAATCGCCATCCCTGGGACCGAGAGAGATGCGGAAGAGAGACTTGCGCACGTTGGCCAGGTGGTCGCGATCTACGTAAGCAAGCAGAGGTGCGTTTTGGCGGAATTTGCTAGCGCTGTCAAGGTCCGGCTCGCTGCAACCCGAGTCCTGAGAAGACGACGACATTGGACGCGTTGCGGCCGAGTCGAACGAGTGACAACGGGAGGAGGTGTGCTTCCAGACCAGGGGAATCTTGACAGCCCTACGGTAGAACTTGGTGCCGAAGTGCAGGTCCAGGTCCACAGAGGTTTTGGCTTTGCAGAGCATGGTCGGGAAGAAGCTGGACATGATGCGCTTCAGGGCGCGAATCCTCTCAATGGCGACGTGGGATGGCTGGACAAATACGCTTAGCTCGGAGCATAGCTGCTTGGCGGCGGGCGATGGCTCCGGCGATGGCATAGGGGTCATGCCAGGGAACGGCTCGGGATCTGGCGCTGGGAACAGGATGGGCGATTGCGCCCTGAACCGCACGCCGAGTGACTCGATGTGCAGATCTGTCCAGCAAATAGGCAGCACGTAGAGACCGTTGCCCGAGTACGAGTGCATGATGTCGTAGAGAGAGCCCGGCTCTGGGCAGATATGCGTTCTCCTGGGGCGCCGCGGTCGCAGTGCTGGCGACAGGGAAGCGTCCGAGGCCGAATCGAGCAGCTCCTCGGGCGCAGACGCGACGACGGCGCCATTGGCAGCCGGAGGGCTGGGGCTGGGTTTGGGCGACGACATCTCTAGAATGGCGCGCACCTGCTCAAAGAGCTGGCTGTGGAACAGAATGGATCTGATAAAGAGGTTGTTGCGGGCTTGTCAGTGAGTGACGCGGGGTGGAGCTGCGCGCGAGGTTATTGATGCTGGGGGGTGGAGCTGAGTGAGTGATTGCGCTACAACCAGCGGACGGAACGCGCCAGAGGGTGGGGGTTTGCGATTGATTGGGGCAGAGTTGGGACGGACTGCTCGTGCTCTCCACAGCGCTGCCATGGGAGCTGGGCGCAAAACTGAACAAGACGAAGAACCTGGCTTTGGGGAACCAACTCTATTGACGGCATCCGCGATTCAGAGACGTGCACGGATCTCGGCTCAGGAACTACGCAGGGCCGAGCCTAGCTTGGGCCACGGTGTGATGGCTATTCGATGATGCGCTGATTGACGTGATGAGGCTGCGCAGCAGGGGCTGGGCTGACGGAACTGGAACAGGGGGGGACCGTGTGTTAGGTTAGACGCGTTTTTGTCCTCGCGACGAGGGGCAAACAAGGCAGGGGAGGGTGCATGGGCGCTGGAGCTGGGCGTGGGCGGGCTGAGGAGGAGCTTAGGGAAATCGAGGCTGGACCCGATGGGGATCGCCGCTTGCCGAGGTGGGGATAGAAAAGCAATGGTATACCGATTTGGGGCAAGCCGCCTGCAAAGGGCGACAGAAGAAGGCAATTGACGAGGCAGTGAATTATGGAACGAGATGAACAGAGGGATTCAGAATGGGGAATGTAACGAACGGAAAACGTAAACCTAGCGCATCGAAGAAAAGAAGGAGAAAAACAGAAGGAAAAAAAGGAAAATAACCGGAAAACGGATACTCACATACTGGGAACTGGGCCCGAGCCGCAGGCTAATGAATGACGCAACTAGAGGCGATCGAGCTGCCTTTCCGCTGTCGAGAAATGTAAAGGCACAAAAATAATCGAGGTGATTGCGATAATGCTGGGATCGGGTACCAGCGTTGGATGAGGAGGCGACCAAGACACGTTCAACCGGTCAAGGAGGGCGTCGAGCTGGGACGGTTTGAGCAAAGTGCCAGCAGGGTAGGTCAGGTCCAGGTCGGGGGGTGGTGCTCACTTATGAAGCCGGGGCGACAAACGTGTGCGAGGTTAGGTGGCGGCCGACGCAGGACCAATGTCCGAGGGACGCATGCGGAATGGGAAGACACAAGATTAGTAGGGCGCGGCACGGACGGGGCTAAGTCGCGTAATTGGCAGGCCACTGCCACATGTCCACACCACGACCGCTTGCGATGGCCAGCGCAGAGGGAGGGGCCCGCTGGCGTGTGGGCGTGTGGAGGCGACACGAAAATGTCTCCAAGTCACCTGACCGCCAGGCAGCCAACCCGGGCTCGTTCTTGCGCCGCGCTTGCTCCGCAAGCTCCGATGGCTAGTGTCCCCACCGATCCCCACCGATCCCCACCGACGCCAATATGCGCCACGTTGGGGCCCAAAAAAAGCCAACAGTGAGGCACAGAAAACAGGAAATGGTGCTGGGAACGCCGGGAAAATACAATCAAGCAGGAGAGAATATAGCGCAAGAAGTAACGAGGGAGAGGAACGTAAAAGGTGGAAAAAAAATATACATTTAAACAGTTGACTCTTTTCTGTTTTGGGCGCCTACGGTGCATCCATTTTTATTGCCCGTTACCGCATTAAGCCGTGCTACCGAGCCACGTCAGCCACGTTTGACCTGGCTTCCGGACGACAGGTGTTGAGTCACGGGCAGGCACCAATGAGCGCGGCGGATCTAAAGCAGGGAAAAGGCTTGGCTGCTGAAGGTCGCGGGATAGGTACCTAGGTAGTCCTGTGTTGGCCATCTCGAAGGGGCAAAGAAGGCAAAAAAGGCCAACAGAGCATCGGTGAAGAAAGCCCAAAGCGGCGAAACGACAGAGAGATGGACCAAACCGCCGAGCACACTTGAACCGAATGCATGAAGGTCGCTGGTGGAATGCAAGGCACAATGGATAGAGGAACTCGAATTGACGCCTGATATCCAAGGCACCGAACAATACCGCCCCACACGCCAGACGTCAGAGCAAGGCAGACCCCACCAAAGCCGGCCGACCAGCTTAGCTCGATCAGTCCCGGCCAGAGACCGGAAGCAACCCATCACGTCGATAAAGCCGCCCGACCACACCCTCCGCCACCCTCCCCCCCGGCAACAACCCCCCCGCAACACCCCAAAAATGCCGGCCTACAACTCCGTCTTCAACGCCGACGCCGAGCAGCGGCTAATCGGCAACTTCCCGCTGCTGCCGCTGCGCACCAAGACGCGCGGGCCCGCCTACACGCTCCCTTTTCCCAACCCGCCCCTGCCGGCGGCCGAGTCGCCCGAGCCCGACAGCGAGAGCTACGACGCGCTTGACGAGGTGCTGCTGCTCTTCCGCGCAAACACCTTCTTCCGCAACTTCGAGATCCAGGGCCCCGCAGACCGCCTCCTCGTCTACGGCATCTGGTTCGTCAGCGACTGCCTGACCAAGATCAAGCCGGGCGCCTCGCTGAGGGAGGCCACCAAGGAGGTCCAGAACATCGCCCTCGACCTCAACTTTGCCATCCCCGGCGACCCGGGCTTCCCGCTGAACCAGGTCCGTCACTTCCCCCACGTCTGCAACGGCTCGCATCTTAAATACGCCATTGGTGGACGAGCCAATCGTGCTGACCATGCTCCCCAACCCAGATGTACGAACCCCCTCGCGACAGGCAAGACGGCGAGCAGCTGCGCCAGTACATGGCCCAGGTCCGGCAAGAGCTCGCCACGAGATTACTAGCCAGGGTGTACGAGGAGGGCGGTGACGGGAAGCCGAGCAAGTGGTGGCTCAGCTTCACCAAGCGCAAGTTCATGGGCAAGTCGCTGTGATGGCGGCTCGCCGATAGCACGGACGCCATTGGAAGGGGGATGGCCGGGCGGGCGGGCTAATTGTTACAAGCAATGGGTTTTTTTTATGGACAGCACTTGCGGCGCATATAGACCCTTTGAAGGTCAATAAAAATCGATCCAACATCAACATCACATGAGCTGAATCGTATGCTGCAGCATGTGGTTCAAAACGCGGCTGCCCAATGCATCATCTCGTGATGCGTATTCCGGGCGGGGTATCTAGGAATACCAATACCAAGCTCTCTGGCCGGAACACCAACTGTCTGCCGGCCGTGTTCCTCATTGTGCTCTCCTCACTCAATCCCCCCTCTTCTGCCTCTTGAGGAACTTGCCCCTCGCCTCGACCTTGCCCGCGACCGGCACCGCACGCCAGCCCGTGAGGACGTACCCCTCGGCGCCGCCCCTCGACGTCATGACGGGGTGCGTCCGGTTCGGTAGGACCTGCCACTTGCGCACCCTGCTCGTCTGGATGCAGACCCCGAGCAGCAGCGTCGGGTTGACGGGGAACTCGTCAGAGCCCTCGTGGCGCGCCAGCCCGGACCGCGGCGTCGTCGCCCCGTTGGAGCTGCCCGCCGCCGCCGGCGTCCTCGCCGCCTCGGCATTGTCGCCGCCCTCCGGGGCCGCGTCGTCCTCCTCGTCGCCGCTCCCGCACGCCATCCAGGCCGCGCGGCGCGCGACGCTGTAGCAGTCGGCCAGGCGCGCGAGCGGCTCCAGGGTGGGCGAGTAGACGGCGACGGGGGCGCCGCCGGCCAGCAGCGGGAGGGCGTGGCGCAGCACTGAGACGGGGTCCATGGACGTGGCGACGACCAGGCCCGAGAAGTTACCGCCGCGCGTCGTGTCGACGACGTGGCGGGTGCGGGCCCAGCGCCGCCGCTTGCGGTGGTAGTTGCCGCGCCGGTTCGCCTTCCAGCCCGCCACCTCGTCGGCCGGCACCACGGGCGGCGCCGACGAGTACGTCGTGTCGGCCTCCGGGGAGAGCAGCTGCAGCCACGTCAGGGTCATCAGGTGCGGGAGGAGAGGGTGCGGCGGGTGGTTCGGGTTCGTGCTGTCGTAGCCGTACTGCCTCAGGTAGGATAGGTTCGCTTGTGAGTTGGGGTGGATGATTGTGATGGTGTTCGTTTCCGAATATGGGATGTAGAAGTCGTGGGGTCGTTTGTGGCGTGCTGGCGGCCGACATGGCAGTCGGTGCTTCTCCGCCGAGCCACAAGTGCCGTTAGCTTGCGCCTCTCCCTGATCCTCCTTTTGACTGTTTGTCTTGGGTCCCGCAACTGCGCTGCTCTCTTGTTGATCCACCTCCATAGCATCGTCCGGGGGCGTATCGTGATTCGAGACGCTAGCTTCGGGTTTACTGTTTTCGCTTTTGCTCACGCCGTTGGTTTGTGTTTCTGGGGTCGCTGAGACATCCAAGCCCTCTTCGCCCTTGGAGTAAAGAATGCCCATCTTCTCGGTCAAAGCAGCCACGAGGAGGCCACCAGTATCGTCCACCACAAGCCAGCGCCCTGATTCTGGGCGCGGCTCTTTTAGGTCGCCTGCCCTCCACTTCTGCAAGACCACATCATCGTATTCAGACTGGCCCTCGGTCGGCGGCGTGGGCAGCACGTCGACGCCGTCGCCGCCGTAGTGGACATTGGCCCAGCAGCCGACCAGAGCGACCATCTCCTCGCGCATCTCGAGGATCTTGGAGCCGGCGTCCTTGTCCTCGAGCAGGTAGTTGCCCATCTGGGTTGGGTCGTATGGCAGGACGGCAAAGCGGCGAATGTACTTGCGCGTCTTGAGCAGCTTGTACTTTGAGAGCGAGAACTGCGTCTTGAGGTCTAGGGCCGTGTGGCGCAGCATCAGCTTCGTGATGAGCTCCTTGCCAGCGCCGGCGCCCTCGCGCTTGAGATCCTCGATCTCCTCGAAGCTGAGCGTCTGGCGCGCGTCCTCGTCCAGCAGCTCGCGGCTGGAGCGCGCCACGACCTCGCCCTTGGGGCCGACGACGCTGTACTCGACGTCCTCGTCGGTCGCGAGCAGTGTCACACCGTCGCCCGTATCCCTCCCGGCGCCGCCGTCGGGGGCCGCCGCGGCCGCGGCCTCCTCCGCCAGCACATCGGCGTAGAGCTCGGCGGGGGGCACGATTCGTAGCCGATTGAAGGTCTCGTCCGGGCGTTTGTCTTGGACCTCGAACGTGACGTGGTAGGGGCGGTGGATTATGAGGTTGCTCGGGAACGAGCCGTATTTGCCCAGCGATATTGTCCTAGGGCGCGGGCGACAGGCCTATTTTAGCCTTGGCAAAGACGGAGTTGCCCCAAAGCGCCCACGCGCAGAGCTCTCTTTCTTGGTCCAAGACTTACGTATTTGGCACGACTTGCATAACCTTGAGACTGTCCGACGGCAGCCGTAGTGCCACCCAGGCATTGGGCTCAATCCGTTCGTACATTGCACCTGCCCTAAAACCAGGGAGCTTTTGCGATGCGGCGACGGTCTGCGCCTGCGGCTCACAAGCTGAATCAACAATTTTCTGCCGTGTGGTGAACAGCGGCGATGGCAGACAGTGGGGGCAGTGGGGTCTTCTGCAGCCATTACTGGCGCCCGTGCCCCATGTCCCATCGGGGTATGCTATCTGGTAGTTTCCCTCGCGGCAATAATTTTAGCACTTATTATAAAATAATAAATAAAAACAATTTTAAACAAAATGTAATTGCAAAACCGCAAAATCGAAATAGTTTTTACTGGTTACTTTGCTAGGTGTTAGGGGTTAATCGGTGCAGAGGCGGGTGGTTACCGGGTTACGGGCCGGATGCGGTGTCTCCTTTGTTAAGCCTCCGTAAATCTCTTACCAAAGGTGCTATCGCCAACAAAGATTATTCCTTTTTTAACCTCCCCTTTTTTCGTGCCCTTTCGGGCACCCGGGGTCGGTTTTTTAAATTTTCCGCGCTTTAAGCGCTTTCGTGCAATTTAAGCTTTACTTTATTTTTTAATTTCGCCATTATGCTTTGGCCGCAATACCGGTAATTTGCCGGCATATTTTCGGGGGGTTCGTGCCCGATTAGTTATTAGCGTTTTTTTTTTTTTTTTTTGCTAAGCGGTTTCGCCCGTACATTTAACGCTTTCCGCTTTTTACCGGGCGGTTTTGCCCGTGCTTTTAACATATTGCCCTTTTCCGATACGGCTTATTTTAAGCCGTTTATACCGCGCGTGCGACCCCGTAAGTAACCGGTAGTTTACGGTATCCCGTTAAACCGCCCCAATGCCCGGTAACGCTTAAAAAAACCGGTTATAAAATTTTGTAATATCCGGAAAAGTAAGTTCGTACCGGCATATAAAAAGCTTTTTTTCCCGTTCGAAATTACAAACCTTTTTTTTTTTTTTTTTATGCATTTATACATTTTAATAATTTTACGATCGTAACGTAATAATAGATTTAGCCGTTTTTT